ATTTTTATAAAATGAAATAAATCTGTTATGTTTTTCTTCATATCTTCGATTAATCTTTATATGATAGACATTTTAAAATAAGTGTAAAGATACACACAGATCTTCTAAGTTATTGTTTCTCTACAACACGATACACATTTTTCAAAGTTGGAGTTACAATTGTACTTACTGATCCTGGGGTCCAAATTTTACTTATAACATTTATATTTATATTTTGAATTATATACTGGAATTAATTTGAATTCGACTGGTTCAATTTTGCGAAACTATTATAAATGGGAAAATACATCTAATTAATAATGAAAAACTTATGAAAATTAATTTGCAAAGCTTAATTATTTAGACTGTGGTTGATCTCACAGGGGCATGGGTCGATTTAGTAGTAATATCAAAAAGTAGGGGTCTCCTCTACTAAAAAATACAGGAGACCCCTATTTTTTAATATTAAAAGTAAAGCGACCCATGCCCCTGTGGTTGATCTTAACCCCTAACGCTGATCACCACCTACATATAGCTCAGTATATGCAGGGACGTATAGTCTATATATATACTGTCCCTGGTATATGTACACAATTTAGAGGTAACAAATTCTCAGGTCCCTGTGTCGTAACTTGTGTGTCTGCCGGTCCAAATCATTTACAGTAGACCAGGGTTATTTTAGCCGGTTTAAATCAAGTCATATGATCTTTCTATTAGTATCGCTATTAGATTGCATCTCTGGTTGAAAAATACGCAACTACGGCGCCGTTAGACTCGCCGAGTTGGTTGGATAGCGATGGAGGGGATGTTTGAAGCCGTAAAGAAGGCAGCCTTAGAGAAATTTCCCCGTAAATCTAACCGGGAAATTCGATATGGGACAGCAGGATTCAGGACCAGGTTTGTGTTGCTGCATAACGAACGGACATAGATATCATGGTTATGTGAATTTACAGATTGCTACCGGTGACTTCATTCTGACACGTTGCGTTAAAAGAGTTACCTCCCCTGGGCACTTTCACTTTACCTAAACGTACGTTGTTCGCATACATTCCAGCCCGTTTTGACATGATCCAACACTGGAAGTCGTGATCTCAGAAATTAAACTTTAACTACATAGTGTAACTTAAGTCGTGTTATATTCTGTATGAACCAATATTTTTACCTGTATTTGTAGTTCAGCATTATGTCAGGTATTTATACAATTTGTACAATGTGGCTGCTACATTTTTTAATCACAACGAAATGGTTTACGATATGTGTAGCGGAACTGGACTAGGTCGATTGCCGTCGACAAGGTAGCATCGGATGACAAGTTTCTGAACCCTTAACTGGAAATTTGCCGAATAAAAGAATTTAAGTAGAGCAAAATTAAAACAGCATTGTTCTTTACATTGTTTTAATCAACAAAGTTTAATCTTAAATTTTAACTGGAAAATCAGTTTGCAATCAGTCTTCCCACAGGTACTCCTGTCAATACACCCATAATATAAACTAGTATTGGTGTATTGACAGAAGAGGCTAGTACATGTACCTGTGTTCAGTACCAATATATGCATGACAACATTTTTCAATATACCCTCGTTAATTGTCCTTTAACGACACCAGCTGTTCAAATCAATTGCAGAATATACATAATGTATACAGCATGCGCAAAAGGTCAGAGCTCAAAAACAGGTCCTCGGACAATTACGTTGTACCTCAATTGGTTAGGGGGTCCATTAACTTAGTACTAAGTCAGTCTGGCCATGCAGTTAATGCCTCTCCAGATATATACTCACTTTGAATGTATTTAAGAAGGAAATTCACATAAAATCATATAAGGACACAACTATAACTTTTCCGAGTTACCTGTGGAATAGCCATGCAGACATACCAGACCACATGTATAGTCATGTGTATATTTTAAGCAGACACGTTGATTCATGGGGCAGAACTATTGGCTAGTTTAGTTTTTTCTTGTTTTTAGGTATAATTAAGGCAGGCTTATTAATTGTCCCCCCTCCCCTACTACTATGTCCAAGATGTTGTTGAAATATTTTTAGAAATTTGGTAAAAATATGATGTCATGTTAATGATGTCATATATTCTATCTACTTGTCAATTAACATCTTGAGCGTTTGAAATGATAATGATATGTTGACTTTGAGGGGTTTTAAATTGAATGTTTCGGTCAAAACAACTTCCTCGCCTCAATACTGGTACCTTTATTTGGGCTTGAAATTAAGTGATACAAGTTACCGTTGTATATAATTATTATCTCTACTTGTCTGTCTATACATGCATGTATTATATCTCCAAACAACAACTTTTTGATATTTTTATTCAATTTATGTTAAACAAGTTGAGACATCATTCTTATCATGTAACGACCCTGACAAAATTAATTAATAACATGGTTCTTCTTCATATGGATGGTGATGTAGTTCTGACAAACGCTCCGTAAGACATAGACTTGTGTTGTGCGGGTTATGTGTTGTAGTCAGTCTGTTGTTAAGTTAAAATGTTTTGATATCCATTTATGTTGTCAAGGATTTGTCAATAAATCTATGTGTTGTGTGGGGTATGTGTTGTGGAGGGTATGTGTTGTGTGGGGTATGTGTTGTGTGGGGTATGTGGATTTTTGGGTATGTAATGTGGAGGGTATGTGTTGTGCGGGGTATGTGTTGTAGAGGGTATGTGTTGTGTGGGGTATGTGTTGTGTGGGGTATGTGTTGTGTGTGGTATGTGTTGTGTGGGGTATGTGTGGTGTGGGGTATGTGTTGTGTGGGGTATGTGTTTTGGAGGGTTTATGTAAATTTTATATGTTGTGGTACTTATGTATTAATGTGGAGTTTGTGTTGATAGGTAATTATGTATTGTTAAGTCAGGTCTGTGTTGTTGAGTCTATGATATTTAGTCTGTGTGTTGTGTGGGGTATGTGTTGTGTGGGGTATATGTTGTGTGGGGTATGTGTTGTTAAGTATATGTGTTGTGTGGGGTATGTGTTTTTGAGTATGTGCTGTTAAGTTAATATGTGTTGTTGAGTATGTTTTGTTGAGTATGTGTTGTTGAGTATGTGTTGTTGAGTATGTTTTGTTGAGTATGTGCTGTTGAGTATGTACTGTTAAGCTAATATGTGTTGTTGAGTATGTGTTGTTGAGTATGTGTTGTTGAGTATGTGTTGATGAGTATGTGCTGTTGAGTATGTGCTGTTAAGCTAACATGTGTTGAGTGGGGTAAACGATTTAGTGTCTTTGTTGTTAGGTCTATATGCTGTGTGTGGTATGTGCTGTGAAGGGGTTTATTGTTTGTGGGTATGTATTGTTAAATCTGTGTGTTGTGTTGGGTATGTGTTGTTAAATCTGTGCGTTGTGTTGGGTATGTGCTGTTTAGTCTGTGTGTTGTGTGGGTTATGTTTTGTTGGGTCTGTATTATTTAGTCTGTGTGTTGTGTGGGGTGTGTGTTGTGTGGGGTGTGGTGTGGGGTATGTGTTGTGTGGGGGATATGTTTTGTTGAGTATGTGTTGTTGAGTAGGTTCTGGTAAGCTAATATGTGTTGGTGAGTATGTTTTGTTGAGTATGTGCTGTTGAGTATGTGCTGTTAAGCTAATATGTGTTGTTGAGTATGTGTTGATGAGTATGTGCTGTTGAGTATGTGCTGTTAAGCTAACATGTGTTGAGTGGGGTAAACGATTTAGCGTCTTTGTTGTTAGGTCTATATGCTGTGTGTGGTATGTGCTGTGAACGGGTTTATTGTTTGTGGGTATGTATTGTTAAATCTGTGTGTTGTGTGGGGTATGTGTTTTGGAGGGTTTATGTAAATTTTATATGTTGTGGTACTTATGTATTAATGTGGAGTTTGTGTTGATAGGTAATTATGTATTGTTAAGTCAGTTCTGTGTTGTTGAGTCTATGATGTTTAGTCTGTGTGTTGTGTGGGGTATGTGTTGTGTGGGGTGTTGTGTGGGGTATGTGTTGTGTGGGGTATGTGTTGTGTGGGGTATATGTTTTGTTGAGTATGTGTTGTTGAGTATGTGTTGTTGAGTATGTGTTGTTGAGTATGTGTTGTTGAGTATGTTCTGTTAAGCTAATATGTGTTGTTGAGTATGTTTTGTTGAGTATGTGTTGTTGAGTATGTGTTGTTGAGTATGTGTTGATGAGTATGTGCTATTGAGTATGTGCTGTTAAGCTAATATGTGTTGAGTGGGGTAAACAATTTAGTGTCTTTGTTGTTAGGTCTATATGCTGTGTGTGGTATCTGCTGTGAAGGGGTTTATTGTTAAGTTTGTTGTTTGTTTGTGGGTATGTGTTGTTAAATCTGTGTGTTGTGTTGGGTATGTGTTGTTTAGTCTGTGTGTTGTGTGGGTTGTTATGTGTTGTTAAGTATATGTGTTGTGTGGGGTATGTGTTGTGTGGGGTATATGTTTTGTTGAGTATGTGTTGTTGAGTATGAGTTGTTGAGTATGTGTTGATGAGTATGTGCTATTGAGTATGTGCTGTTAAGCTAATATGTGTTGAGTGGGGTAAACAATTTAGTGTCTTTGTTGTTAGGTCTATATGCTGTGTGTGGTATCTGCTGTGAAAGGGTTTATTGTTAAGTTTGTTGTTTGTTTGTGGGTATGTGTTGTTAAACCTCTGTGTTGTGTTGGGTATGTGTTGTTAAGGCTGTGTGTTATGTTGGGTATGTATTGTTGAGTCTGTGTGTTATGTTGGGTATGTGTTGTTAAGTATGTGTGCTGTGTTGGGTATGTGTTGTTAAGTCTGTGTGTTATGTTGGGTATGTATTGTTTAGTCTGTGTGTTATGTTGGGTATGTGTTCTTAAGTCTGTGTGTTGTGTTGGGTATGTGTTGTTAAGTCTGTGTGTTATGTTGGGTATGTGTTGTTAAGCCTGTGTGTTGTGTGGGTTGTGTTTTGTTGAGTCTGTATTATTTAGTCTGTGTGTTGTGTTGGGTATGTGTTGTTATAGTCTGTGTGTTGTGTTGGGTATGTTTTGTAAAGTCTTTTTGTTGTGAAGTGTTATGTACTGTAAGTCTATGTTACAGGGCCGAGTATTTGGATCATGTCCTGTACAGGATGGGTGTTCTGGCTGTTCTACGATCTAGAATAAAAAAAGGTAAGAGTAGCAAATTGCATGTTGATCATTTAATGTCTGTGTTACTGGGATAACATGTTCACTATGTCTGTCCCCTAGTCTCTAGGAATGTTACCTCTACCTAGAGACACTCTGATCCACTTAACCAAAGTCAATATTTGCTGCTTCTAATCTAAGGAGAAAGTAACTTATTTGCGTCGGGTATGTGAATAAGATATTGTTTGAACAGTATGCCTTAAGGTTGTAAAGGCTAGGTATATAGCGGACAGTACAGTATATGCACATGTCATCACTGGCTAATAAAAATGATAGCACAGTTTTGTATAATTCAAAGCTTCGGATATCAAATTCTATATTCTTTAATAGATTTGAAAAATGGAATCATTCAAAAGTTCACTATTTACAGATGGTGATATTACATAACTACAAATCTCAATATTGATCTCCACGAGCAGTGGCATGGTCACAACCTAGGTAAACAGTTTTTGAAGAACTGAAAAGCCTAGAGTCATGATGTTTTGGGTATTGCCAAGTTTGTGAATAAAAATGACCTTGACTTACGTATTTGTCATAAACTTCACAAACTTATCAGGAACTTAACTAGAGTCATGTTGTTTGGCTAGTACCTTCCATAGATGAAGTAGGACAAAGTTTGTGAATAAAAATGACCTTTGACCTACTTTCAATATCACAGAGGTCAAATAAATATGTTACAACAATCAAACAGCATTTTCTGAAGAACCAAAGGGCCTTCAGTGACGATAAATGTCCAGTGGCTGACTGGCATAGAATTCTACACAGTTCGGATAAATGTCCAGTGGCTGACTGGCATGGAATTCTACACAGTTCGGGAAAAGGGAAAATAAATGACCTTAACATATATTTAAGGCCACAGGGATAACATTTGTTAAACCACTAAAAAGGCTTATTGTGAAGAACTCAAAAGTCCTAGAGGGTTGATAATGGACCTGGCATGGGAGCACTAAAGATATTGCAAAAAGAAATGACCTTGACTGATGTTCAAGCTCATAATGGGTCGTACATATATTGTGTGAAAAAAGTCAAACTGTATGTTCTTACACACCAAAAGGCCTGAAAATATTATCTAACCAGCGGCTTACTGACAATGAGTACTGCAGTGTTTGAGGAAAGAGAAAACCTTGACCTCAATTCAAGGTTACAGGGGTAAAATCACAAATAGATTTTTCTGAAAAACCCAAAACCCTAGAATCATGTTATATTACCATTGGCTTGCTAGCAATGAGAACTAGCTGTAACATTTGAAAAAAGAAATACCTTGACCTCTATTCAAGGTCACAAGCATCAGGTCTATTAAAACACTCAAACTTCTTTTGAAGAAGCCCTGGAAAACCCAGCAGTCATGATATTTGACCCGGACCTTGCAGGAATGTAGTACCATAAACTTTGGGAAAAGAAAGGACCTTGACCTATATTCAAGGCCACAGGGGTCCATTTTTTTCAAATTGCCCAATCAAATTCTAAAGAACTTTAAAGGCCAATATTATTGCAATATTTAGGGAGTAGCTTTTAAAATATTGTACCAGGCAGTTGGACCGTACATGTTGTCATTTTCTGGCAAATGTATTTTACAAGAAATCTGCTATACATAAAATTGATTTTTTGATTTCTACATTGACTGGTAGGATGAAGCTATACTGTAATGAGAAATACAATGTATAACAAAAATGATAAAGAAATGAATAAGATGTTTTTGTTATTTGAAGCTACAATTGGTGCTATGATTACGGCGTCCCACAACCCTGAGGAGGACAACGGCATCAAACTGATTGACCCAGCAGGGGAGATGTTAGAGGTCACCTGGGAGACACATGCTACATACCTCGCCAATGTTGAGTAAGTACCTCACACAAGTCTCTCTGTGTGAAAGTGGATGGCACCATGTCCATCTGTCCAATTGTCCCAAGTTTTGTGCCATAACTTCTAAAGAGTGTTATTGATTTTCATGGATGGATGTATGACAAGAAGATGAGGTGTTGTGAACAACTCTCAGGAATGAAATGACTTCCTAATTTAGGTCACTTTACTTTCCTTTCTGAAAGAACATGAGGCCTAGCTCAATAAATGGGGATGATGTTTAGCCAGTAGCATGCTGGGATGACAGGCTATACAATTTGGTCAGATGACCTTGATCGACTTTCAAGGTTATATAGGTCATATCTGTTAAAGCCTTTAAAAAAATGGCCAGTAGCCTGCTGGGATGAATTGGCTGTTAATTACCTTTAGTAAGTGATCTTGATCCACTTTCAAGAATGTGTAGCCTGACAAAAAATCTTTACAATTATTCATGTGTAGAGTAATTATATTTGATCTAAAAAATACGTGTTGAGTCTCTTTGTAGGTCAAAGTTATGAGAGTAATAACAAGGGATCAGCAATACAGACCCATTGGGCCTGTTGTTTTCTTTATAACCATGACATAGAAGGGAGAAATTGAAAAAGCTTTTAGCAGGATTTCTGTTATCTTAAGTTTATTTATCATTATAGCTGATGTTTTTGTTCTCATAGATTTTGATTATCAATGAAATCCTAATAACATGAACTGTTTGATACCTGACAATCTCTGACAACATTGGAATTCTTTGAATACCAGGTAATCGCCTGAAGAGAGCATTAATATGGATGAGAACTGTATAGGACAACGGTATGAGTAAGGACCATGCATACATGTCTGAGCTGTCAGGGTTAACTGTAATAACATAGGAGGTGCATGTAGGTGTATTACAAGTTTATAAGATTTATAGATACGATGATATGTGTGTGGGGTTGCTATTTAAGTTATAAGTATAGGAGATTTATCAGTAATGGTATGTAATGGTATATATTGTTGATAAGTAAGTTTATTGGACAGCATATTATAAGATCTATGAGCATACATAATTTAGTGTTAAATCTATTTTAGCATATTTCTTGCATGAAATATTTGGATTACCCCGCTAATTGTGACGTCTGTATGTATTGTTTTCCATTGTATATATTATGGGTGTGCCAATTCATCAATGGGCTAACAAATTTAGATTAGATAATGTGCTAAAATGAATACTGTTTTGGGTGGTCGGGTGGCACAGTGGATCGCACTTGCCCTTCACCAAGGCGACTGGGTCGATTCCCAGATTGGACGTGAAAAGATAAATGTATGGGGTCACCTGCGGGACCACATGGGATTTCACCGGGAACTCTGGTTTCCTCCCACAGTAAGACCCCCGCGCGCTAACATCAGGGCCAACAAGAGTGATTAGTATAAGTTGTAAAAACTTGTTTCATAATTGTTGTAAAATAAATAAAGTTTATAATACTGTTTTAAAGGTTGATAGTTAGACGTCATTATCAGTGTATGAGTGTTGATAAATAAGTTTGTTAATATATACATCTGTATGAGTCAATCAGGTTGAGAAGAATGATCTTATATGTGTATATATGAGGTTTGTAAGTGTATTAGGGTGTATTATTATGTAATTGTTAGATGTAGCTATCACATTATGGTTCTCTCTTTTCTCTAGAGATGAAGACATTACATCGGCTATTAAATCTATTGTCACAAAGGAGAATGTTCCTATGGATGTTTCAGCCTCCGTATATGTCGCCATGGATACCAGGTACACTTTAATCTGACACAGGAAGCTGAGTATCTGTAATAAGTTTATATGTATACACTACAAGTGTTCCCAGTACTGAATGTTGTGAGCTTTCTCAGGTATTATGTGTGTAGGTAATTCTGGTATTTACTGGGTAAGTACTTTATGAGATTTGTTATGATATCATAAAGTACTTACCCAGTATGATATATCATTATTATGTTATGTGATATGTTATGATACCTGGATATGTTATGATACCTGGATATATTATGATATATGTTATGATATATGTTATGATGTATGTTATGATATATGTTATGATGTATGTTATGATAAATGTTATGATGTATGTTATGATATATATGTTATGTTATGTTATATGTTATGATATATGTTATGATATATGTTATGATGTATGTTATGATGTATGTTATAATATATATGTTATGTTATATGTTATGATACCTGGATATGTTATGATTTTGTTATGATGTATGTTATGATGTATGTTATGATATATGTTATGATGTATGTTATAATATATATGTTATGTGATATGTTATGATACCTGGATATGTTATGATGTATGTTATGATGTATGTTATGATGTATGCTATGATATATGTTATGATGTATGTTATAATATATATGTTATGTGATATGTTATGATACCTGGATATGTTATGATTTTGTTATGATGTATGTTATGATGGATGTTATGATATATGTTATACTGAATGTTATGATGTATATGATATATGTTATGATGTATGTTATAATATATATGATATGATGTATGTTATGATGTATGTTATGATATATGTTATGATATATGTTATGATGTATATGATATATGTTATGATGTATGTTATAATATATATGTTATGATATATGTTATGATGTATGCTATGATATATGTTATGATGTATATGATATATGTTATGATGTATGTTATGATATATGTTATGATTTATGTTATGATATATTATGATGTATGTTATGATGTATGTTATGATGTATATGATGTATGTTATGATGTATGTTATAATATATATGATATGATGTATGTTATGATGTATGTTATGATATATATTATGATGTATGTTATGATATATGTTATGATGTATGTTATAATATATATGTTATGATATATGATATGATGTATGCTATGATATATGTTATGATGAATATGATATATGTTATGATATATGTTATGATGTATGTTATAATATATGTTATGATGTATGTTATGATGTATATGATGTATGTTATGATATATGTTATGATGTATGTTATAATATATATGTTATGATGTATGTTATGATGTATATGATGTATATTATGATATATGTTATGATGTATGTTATGATGTATATAAAATATATGTTATGATATATGTTACGATATATGTTATGATGTATGTTATGATGTATGTTATAATATATATGTTATGATATATATATTATGATGTATGTTATGATATATATTATGATGTATGTTATGATATATATTATGATGTATGTTATGATATATGTGATGATATATGTTATGATATATGTTATGATGTATGTTATGATGTATATGATATATGTTATGATATATGTTATGATATATGTTATGATGTATGTTATGATGTATGTTATGATATATGTTATGATATATGTTATGATGTATATGATATATGTTATGATGTTTATGATATATGTTATGCTGTATGTTATGATGTATATGATTTATGTTATGATATATGTTATGATGTATGTTATGATGTATATGATATATGTTATGATATATGTTATGATATATGGTATGATGTATGTTATGATATACAGTTGTGGGACCGCACAACGCACCAAAAATAGCGTGCGCACACCGTGCATACATCGTTTCCACACCGTCCGCACATCGTCCACACATGGAGCGCACAACTGTGCGATTTAGCAATCGTTCGCCCCGTTGTGCGATTCTCTCCGCACAACTGTGCGATTTGGTATCATTTGAAGATCAAAATTACGGAATGACAAAAATACGGAAAGCTTGTATACGATAATGTACACTGTGTATATATCTGTAATTTCTCATCACAATAATCAAGATTACACAATTTCACAATGCGTGTTACACAGTATTACAGCGACCGTAAGGCTGTCAAGAATGGGTTTGGCTCCAAGGTAACAGAACAGGTAAATAACAATTTTATGAGTGTCCGGAGTTTTACCTGACCAGTGCCTGACACACAGAGCTGATACGCGATACCGGACCGTAATGAATAGTATTTGTTAGTTGCATTCGTTTGCCTATGGCTCCCCTTCACCTGGATTTCACACCCCCTGCCTTACCCGACGAGTTACGTAAGTGCCCCAGGCGAGTAGAAAACTACGGTCCAGGTACATGTACAGAGTGGTTATGTTTACCTGTATACGGGATTGTGTTGTAATTTTACATGTGACGATTAAGTTTGTTTAAAAACACAGAAAACACAATTTCTAAATATAAGAATGTATAGACAGAAAGATAATTATATAAGTTTATAGATGTTGCTAGAATATAGAAACATACGTAAACATCAAGTTTATATGTTTAAACACAAAACCGTATAATTTGTTAAGGCATTTCTCAATTTACACCAACCACGATTGTTATCGCACAACGTCCGTCCATCGTGCGCACATATGTGCGCAAGCAATGATCGTCCAGCTTTTTATCATTCGCCATCGTGCACACACCGTTCACACACTGTGCACACATCGTGCGCACACCGCACATCGTGTAACGTTGTGCGATCCCACAACTGTATGTTATGATGTGTGTTATGATGTATATGATATATGTTATGATATATGTTATGATTTATGTTATGATATATGTTATGTTATATGTTATGTTGTATGTTATGATACCTGGATATGTTAGGAAGAGTAATGAAAATCTTTTCCTTAGTCCTTGAATTGGGGCATAACTTGGAAACATCTAAATCTCCTTCAAATAACAAGATATTGCTTGGCATGAAAAAACAAGCACTTGTTACCAAGATTATCCCTGGGATCTGGCCCTACCCCTGCAGACTTATTCCATAGTCATTAACAAGGAATAGCTTGAGATTTACATCTTTGGGACCCTAAATTTTATTATATTAGGCCAAAAATGAAAAAAATAATTTGCAACACTGGTTTTAATAAGATAATTTGATATGATTGATTAAATATTCAATTGATCAATACAGACCCTCTTGGCCTTTTTTTAAGCTTGCTGCATTGAGTGCATTAAAGGGTGCTAAAAGAAATAACCTTGACATATTCAAGGTCATAGGAACCTGCACCATCCCTTAAGGACTTAGTCTCTGACTTATAATGTAGGAATGATTGAGATTAAATAACGTTATACATGTATAAATTTGCTAAACTTGAAGAATTATATAAATTCATTCATCCAGGATTGCCCCTGTGTCTTGCCCTGCCCCTGGAGACTTTCTTCCTAGCTCTATACCTGCTTGCATGAAGAGATAAATACAATAATTGTCTCATTACATTGCTCATGTTATTTCTTTAACAAATTCTTTGTTCATCAGAGGGAGTAGCCGGAGACTGTCAGAGGCTTTGCAGTGTGGAGTGCAGGCAGCTGGGGGCTTGTGTACAGATTTTGGTAATATTTCTTATGTAACAATACTTATATCCCCTTGCTACGAAAGTTTGAGGGGATATAGGATTCAGCCTGTACATGTTACACTCTTTGTCATCGCTCTAGTGACTTCATTTCTCAATGGAATTTCATGAAACTTCATACAAGTGTTTGGTATGGCAATGTCTTCAACAATTTCACGCTTCAGGTTTTTATGTTAAAGTCAAGGTCAATGTTACTTTTTTAAGAAATGGAATTTCATGAAACTTGATACAAGTGTTTGGTATAACGATAACTTGAACAGGTTTGCGTTTCAGATTACTACGTTAAAGGTAAAGGTCACTATTATTAGAAAAACTTTGTCATCGCCTTATAGACTTCATGGCTGAATTATTATCCATCGAGAAATGCAGTCGTTAGCACGTGAGAGCTGATGCTGACACATCATTGAGTTTTCTATCCATTTCCTCGTATATTTGCACCAAGTTTGTATCTGTTGAACTTTTTGTTGTATTTGTTGCAAGCCTATTGACCAGTACCAGTGATGTTGTTTGATTGTTGTTTTTGTTGTACCGTTTTTGTGATGGTTGATCTTCCTGACTGTATCAGTAGTTGTAATGTTGTTTGATTGTTGTACTGTATGTTGTGATGTTGTTTGACTATTGAACTGTATTTTGTTTGACTGTTGTACTGTATGTTGTTTGACTGTTGTACTATATGTTGTGATGTTGTTTGACTGTTGTACTGTATGTTGTGATGTTGTTTGACTGTTGTACTGTATGTTGTGATGTTGTGTGACTGTTGTACTGTATGTTGTGATGTTGTTTGACTGTTGTACTGTATGTTGTGATGTTGTTTGACTGTTGTACTGTATGTTGTGATGTTGTGTGACTGTTGTACTGTATGTTGTGATGTTGTTTGACTGTTGTACTGTATGTTGTGATGTTGTTTGACTGTTGTACTGTATGTTGTGATGTTGTGTGACTGTTGTACTGTATGTTGTGATGTTGTTTGACTGTTGTACTGTATGTTGTGATGTTGTTTGACTGTTGTACTGTATGTTGTGATGTTGTGTGACTGTTGTACTGTATGTTGTGATGTTGTTTGACTGTTGTACTGTATGTTGTGATGTTGTTTGACTGTTGTACTGTATGTTGTGATGTTGTGTGACTGTTGTACTGTATGTTGTGATGTTGTTTGACTGTTGTACTGTATGTTGTGATGTTGTGTGACTGTTGTACTGTATGTTGTGATGTTGTTTGACTGTTGTACTGTATGTTGTGATGTTGTGTGACTGTTGTACTGTATGTTGTGATGTTGTTTGACTGTTGTACTGTATGTTGTGATGTTGTTTGACTGTTGTACTGTATGTTGTGATGTTGTGTGACTGTTGTACTGTATGTTGTGATGTTGTTTGACTGTTGTACTGTATGTTGTGATGTTGTTTGACTGTTGTACTGTATGTTGTGATGTTGTGTGACTGTTGTACTGTATGTTGTGATGTTGTTTGACTGTTGTACTGTATGTTGTGATGTTGTTTGACTGTTGTACTGTATGTTGTGATGTTGTGTGACTGTTGTACTGTATGTTGTGATGTTGTTTGACTGTTGTACTGTATGTTGTGATGTTGTTTGACTGTTGTACTGTATGTTGTGATGTTGTGTGACTGTTGTACTGTATGTTGTGATGTTGTTTGACTGTTGTACTGTATGTTGTGATGTTGTGTGACTGTTGTACTGTATGTTGTGATGTTGTTTGACTGTTGTACTGTATGTTGTGATGTTGTGTGACTGTTGTACTGTATGTTGTGATGTTGTTTGACTGTTGTACTGTATGTTGTGATGTTGTGTGACTGTTGTACTGTATGTTGTGATGTTGTTTGACTGTTGTACTGTATGTTGTGATGTTGTGTGACTGTTGTACTGTATGTTGTGATGTTGTTTGACTGTTGTACTGTATGTTGTGATGTTGTGTGACTGTTGTACTGTATGTTGTGATGTTGTTTGACTGTTGTACTGTATGTTGTGATGTTGTGTGACTGTTGTACTGTATGTTGTGATGTTGTTTGACTGTTGTACTGTATGTTGTGATGTTGTGTGACTGTTGTACTGTATGTTGTGATGTTGTTTGACTGTTGTACTGTATGTTGTGATGTTGTTTGACTGTTGTACTGTATGTTGTGATGTTGTGTGACTGTTGTACTGTATGTTGTGATGTTGTTTGACTGTTGTACTGTATGTTGTGATGTTGTTTGACTGTTGTACTGTATGTTGTGATGTTGTGTGACTGTTGTACTGTATGTTGTGATGTTGTTTGACTGTTGTACTGTATGTTGTGATGTTGTTTGACTGTTGTACTGTATGTTGTGATGTTGTGTGACTGTTGTACTGTATGTTGTGATGTTGTTTGACTGTTGTACTGTATGTTGTGATGTTGTTTGACTGTTGTACTGTATGTTGTGATGTTGTGTGACTGTTGTACTGTATGTTGTGATGTTGTTTGACTGTTGTACTGTATGTTGTGATGTTGTGTGACTGTTGTACTGTATGTTGTGATGTTGTTTGACTGTTGTACTATATGTTGTGATGTTGTGTGACTGTTGTACTGTATGTTGTGATGCTGTTTGACTGTTGTACTGTATGTTGTGATGTTGTGTGACTGTTGTACTGTATGTTGTGATGCTGTTTGACTGTTGTACTGTATGTTGTGATGTTGTGTGACTGTTGTACTGTATGTTGTGATGTTGTGTGACTGTTGTACTGTATGTTGTGATGTTGTGTGACTGTTGTACTGTATGTTGTGATGTTGTGTGACTGTTGTACTGTATGTTGTGATGTTGTGTGACTGTTGTACTGTATGTTGTGATGTTGTGTGACTGTTGTACTGTATGTTGTGATGTTGTGTGACTGTTGTACTGTATGTTGTGATGTTGTGTGACTGTTGTACTGTATGTTGTGATGTTGTGTGACTGTTGTACTATATGTTGTGATGTTGTGTGACTGTTGTACTGTATGTTGTGATGTTGTGTGACTGTTGTACTGTATGTTGTGATGTTGTGTGACTGTTGTACTATATGTTGTGATGTTGTGTGACTGTTGTACTGTATGTTGTGATGTTGTGTGACTGTTGTACTGTATGTTGTGATGTTGTGTGACTGTTGTACTATATGTTGTGATGTTGTGTGACTGTTGTACTATATGTTGTGATGTTGTGTGACTGTTGTACTGTATGTTGTGATGTTGTGTGACTGTTGTACTGTATGTTGTGATGTTGTGTGACTGTTGTACTATATGTTGTGATGTTGTGTGACTGTTGTACTATATGTTGTGATGTTGTGTGACTGTTGTACTGTATGTTGTGATGTTGTGTGACTGTTGTACTGTATGTTGTGATGTTGTGTGACTGTTGTTTGACTGTTGTACTATGTGTTGTGATGTTGTTTGACTGTTGTACTATATGTTGTGATGATGTTTGACTGTTGTACTGTATGTTGTGATGTTGTGTGACTGTTGTTCTGTTGTTTGACTGTTGTACTATATGTTGTGATGTTGTGTGACTGTTGTACTGTATGTTGTGATGCTGTTTGACTGTTGTACTGTATGTTGTGATGTTGTGTGACTGTTGGACTGTTGTTTGACTGTTGTACTGTTGTTTGACTGTTGTACTGTATGTTGTGATGCTGTTTGACTGTTGTACTGTATGTTGTGATGCTGTTTTTTCAGGTCTGCTGACAACTCCACAGCTCCACTACATGGTGCGATGTACTAACAGTAATGGCCTGTATGGTGTAGCTACAGAGGAAGGCTATTTCCAAAAGTTGTCCACAGCATTTTGTAAACTACGACAACAGGTAGTCAATAAGCTGTAATATTTACAGCACCACCATCGTCACGACAGAATATACAATATTCTGCACACATGATGTGTGCAGAATATTGTATATTCTGTCAATTGCTTTTCCTTAAACAATTCTTGCTAATGTTGTTTCCCAACAACTACTTGTTAGGTCTTTCTTACATTTTCAATAGTAGGTTTCCCCTGATCTTTAGATGTGCTTGTTTCATTTGAGACTAATAAAAAAAAAGATAGCTATCAGGCAGACATCTTGAATTTACCAGTTGAAGTCTGTTATTTCTTCAACAATCAGAAATCTCTTCTATTTGGTTTTCATTACTAAAATAATAAAATAGGTCAAACAATGCAGCAATCAGACATTAAAAGGTCAACGTCAAATGCAGCGGTATGATCACAAGATTGATAAAAAGTTACCATGAGATGCATTTTCTAATGACAAGATAATTAATTCAACAAATGAAAGAAACCATTAATCATAGAAATTATGATAAGATTATAATGGTGGGTGATGGGATCCTTGTTCTATACAAACTGTTATATATAAAGCTCTCACAATACTGCCACTTTTGCTGGAAATAAGTTAGTGGATTGTCGAAGCTCAACTTTAAGGAAACATGACAACAAACAGTATAAGATTCTATTTCTCTGCTGTAGATGGGACAGAAGGGAGACAGTGCATACAAACTCACTCTCAAATTGGATGGAGCCAATGGTGTAGGGGCCCAGAAAGCACGTCAGCTCTCGCCGTACATCAGTGACTATCTTAGTATTGATATTTGCAACGATGGGTCAACTGGGAAGCTGAATCATCAAGTAAGTGCATAAAGTGAACAATTAAATGTACATTGTAGACAGGTCATTTGAATTTATTGTATCCTCTGATGTGTCGGGTTTTGATGAGACGAGATTATTTTTTCTGTACAGGATTATTGGGATCACTTAAGCTTCCTTTGAATTTAATGTATCAGCTTTCAGTTGATGAGATGGGGTATTTTGTATACAGGATAAACGGGTGCAGTTGCAGCAGTGAGGATACATGGTATATGAAACTCACTTTTAACTAATAAATACCTCTTTAGGTTTATAGCAAGGATCATCTGCACTTTCTCTACATTTTTCCAATGGAAAAAAATGTAGAAAAATGTCTAGTTTCTCATAAAATATGGAGACTTAACTTGAAGTGTGGGGAGTATTATGTTTAGCCAATTGCAAGCTATGATGAAGAGTTTGTTAGAAACTTTGACCTTGACCCACTTTCATGAAATCTGATTTAGATGATCAATTTAACTATCTTTGTTAAGTCTGATATCAAGAGTTTGTTGTTTTTTGATTCCTAGTGTGGGGCAGATTTTGTTAAGGTCAACCAAAGACCTCCTGATGGGATGAGTCTCCAGTGTGACTCCCGATGTGCCTCCTTTGATGGGGATGCTGACAGAATAGTGTATTTCTACACAGACCAAGGTATAGACATCAGTTCCTAGCTCTCTCAAGTGCATGGATCAAGAAATAGAAAATATTGTGAAATAGAAATATCGTGAAATTTTGATGCATGATTCGTTTCTGTAAAAGTCATGACAGTTCATGTGACATGATCAAGGTGGAATGATCAAGGTGACGTGATAAAGAAGTAGTGTGATTCAATCACATACTTGAATTGTAGATAGAATGAGAGAAATATCATTAACTATCCAAAAAGTAAAACAGTTGTTACTCTTATTGAAACACTGAACATTTGTGATAAAGTAAAACAGTTGTTAATCTTATTGAAACACTGAACATTTGTGATAAACAGTTGTTAATCTTATTGAAACACTGAACATTTGTGATAAAGTAAAACAGTTGTTAATATTATTGAAACATTGAACATTTGTGATAAAGTAAAACAGTTGTTAATCTTATTGAAACACTAAACATTTGTGATAAAGTAAAACAGTTGTTAGTCTTATTGAAACACTGAACATTTGTGATAAAAGTAAAACAGTTGTTACTCTTATTGAAACACTGAACATGTGTGATAAAGTAAAACAGTTGTTACTCTTATTGAAACACTAAACATTTGTGATAAAGTAAAACAGTTGTTACTCTTATTGAAACACTGAACATTTGTGATAAAGTAAAACAGTTGTCAATCTTATTGAAACATTGAACAGTTGTTAATCTTTTTGAAACATTGACCAGTTGTTAATCTTATTGAAACATTGAACAGTTGTTAATCTTATTGAAACACTTAACATTTGTGATAAAGTAAAACAGTTGTTAATCTTATTGAAACATTGAACAGTTGTTAATCTTATTGAAACACTTAACATTTGTGATAAAGTAAAACAGTTGTTAATCTTATTGAAACACTAAACATTTGTGATAAAGTAAAACAGTTGTTAGTCTTATTGAAACACTGAACATTTGTGATAAAAGTAAAACAGTTGTTACTCTTATTGAAACACTAAACATTTGTGATAAAGGAAAACAGTTGTTAGTCTTATTGAAACACTGAACATTTGTGATAAAGTAAAACAGTTGTTCCTCTTATTGAAACACTGAACATTTGTGATAAAAGTAAAACAGTTGTTACTCTTATTGAAACACGGAACATTTGTGATAAGGTAAAACAGTTGTTACTATTATTGAAACACTGAACATTTGTGATAAAGTAAAACAGTTGTTAATTTTATTGAAACACGAAACATTTGTGATAAAGTAAAACAGTTGTTAGTCTTATTGAATCACTGAACATTTGTGATAAGAAAGTGTTGTTCGATCATCAAGTGATTTGAGTGGATAACGAGTTATCATTTAACACCTCGTGATCATTACTTACAATGCGATAATCAAATAGCAAGTGATCATTACATGTGAATAGTTTCATCCACTGTGTTAATACTGATTGAAAACTGATTTCTACTCTAATATACAACATTGAACTGACATGTTTGTATAAGGGACTTTTTATTTTAATCGTAGATGGAAAGTTTCACTTGTTGGATGGTGATAAGATAGCGACCCTGGTGAGTAGGGAGTAGAGAACTCTTTGTACTCCTACTGAGTCCTTCAGTACTAGTACTGAGGGAGGAATTGTAATTAAAATCGATCTTGAGCATCCGTGGACCAATGGGACTCCATGTCTCATGAATATACATGGTTATATTAATACACACAAAATTTTATTTCTTCAGTAGCAGTAAGGCATTTTAACCAAATTTGGTTCAGATCAGCCTTGGGCTAAAGGGACTTCAAAGGTGTGTCCCCCCCCCCCTTCCTGAGCCCCTGAGGTTTATGACAAAATCCACTCATCTGAAAGAGCCATATTTATGTTAACTATTATTCTATTATGGCCCTTTCCCGAGGGAACTGTTCTGTTATAGTGTTGTCTGGACAGGCACTATACCTCTCCAGGCAACACTATAAGAGAACTGGTCCTGAGGGAAAGGGTCATAATAGATTTAGTACATCATATGACTGTCATTTGACAATAAAAAGTAACATATTTAATAATTAACAACAAATGTCAATAAGATAATTGTTTGAGTAGATCTCTCCTTTTTTGTTGGGAATTCAATTCACTGGATTGAATCACCGCTAGGTCACATACGGTTCCCCTTTCCAGTAGGAAGTCTTTAAGGACTGCGATGTCAAATGGTGTCGTCTGCTTCGTCTTAATGCATTGCTGAGCCTCGCCGAAACAATCGGCATTCCTGGTCCCGAAATTCGAAGCCATTTTGGCAGACGACAACAATGAAGTGAAAGTAGAATATATACAGCGCTCCCTAGAAGAAGGGTCGTAGAGTCACGCTACTTTTCCCGCAGCCTCAGCGGTCAAAAAAAAAAGTATAGTGCCCGTCTCCAGGTATAGTTTCCGTTGTCAAGGGCGGATGCTAACTATACCAAATAGAACAAGGGTAGTTATCCAATAGCTATCCTAGAAATTATCATGTGATGTACTAAATGTGTTTTGTATGATCACTAGGACAATATTGTGATCATATTTTGTATGCATGAACATAAATGTGGCCCCTCAGACTGGAGTGTTGGGGCCCCATCAAAGGGAATTTTGGTGTACTGTTGCACTACTTAAAATGATCAAATCCCCAATGGACAACTGCATAATTACATACTGGGCATAAGAGAAAAATACCTCCTTGCAATACAATACATAAATAAATTGTTCCTGGTTATAACATCATACCAGGTGAGATCCCCACCCAATAACCATTATAATGCAATTGCTGATAATGAAGAGGAGAATAAATTCACACTACTAGGACTGTATGGTGCCTGGGTAAGGCCCCACCCCTTGGGACTTAGGCCCAATATAAAAGCCCCCTGGGCATCATGTTTTGCCATCCTATTGAGAGCCCTGTGGATGACATATTATGTTGTGTAGTATCCTGACATTATGGCACTGCAAAGTTAAAGCTTTGAGGTGCTTAAAAAAAGTTTAAACAACAAAAAATGAGGATGTTCGAAAGTGAAGCACAAATACAGGTTAACATTTTTTTGTTGATCAAAACTTTGTCTAACAATGTAGCTAAACAAACCCACCAGAGGAATGTTGATTACTGTGGTTTTATACATTTAACACTTGTGTTCTTGATTCTTGTACTCATATTCTCTTGTAGTGAATTCATTCTCATGCTAATTGGTCATTATTTCATCCACCAGGTGGCAGGCTACCTACAGGAGCTTATGACCAGATCAGGTCTGTCACTGAACCTGGGCCTCGTCCAGACAGCCTACGCTAATGGTAGCTCGACTGAATACATCACTAAGACACTGGTACATGACTGAAATGTCTCCTTTAATATTGTATAATACATTTCACAAACGTTACAAAACATCATGTTTTTCACAAGTATTGGAAAAAACCTTGATTGGAGGAGTTCTTGCTTGTTCGATTGAATGATGTTGACCTGTTTTTAAGGTCACAGGAATCAAAGGTGTTAAAAACTTCAACAATTTTTTCTGTATAACCAACATATGTAAGGTCCTGTGATTTGGTCTGTAACTATAAACGACTTCTCAATTACATCTTGTAGGATGCTGGGATAACAGGCTATTGAATCTGTTCAAACGAATGACTTATATTTAATAGACCAATTTTTCAGGCCTGAGGGGTCTTATATATTTTTATCTGACTGTCTCAATACAATGTGACCTATCATCATGCTATTTGACTGGAATCATGCTGAGTTGAAGGGTTATGGTGCTTGTTCAAATGGAATTATCTTAATTAGTGTAATGTCATTATGAGGTGGCGATGGTCAATGTTTCAATTTCTTCATAAAACATATGTATCCCCCTGGATACTTATTGATTGTTTCTACGTATGTATCCCCTGGATACATATTGATTGTTTCTACGTATGTATCCCCAGGATACTTATTGATTGTTTCTACGTATGTATCCCCCTGGATACTTATTGATTGTTTCTATGTATGTATCCCCCTGGATACTTATTGATTGATTCTACGTATGTATCCCCCTGGATACTTATTGATTGTTTCTATGTATGTATCCCCTGGATACTTATTGACTGTTTCTACGTATGTATCCCCTGGATACTTACTGATTGTTTCTACGTATGTATCCCCTGGATACTTATTGACTGTTTCTACATATATGTATCCCCTGGATACTTATTGATTGTTTCTACGTATGTATCCCCTGGATACTTATTGGCTGTTTCTACGTATGTATCCCCATGGATACTTATTGATTGTTTCTACTTATGTATCCCCTGGATACTTAGTGATTGTTTCTACGTATGTATCACCTGGATACTTATTGACTGTTTGTAGGTATGTATCCCCCTGGATACGTATTAACTGTTTCTACGTATGTATCCTCTGGATACTTATTGTTTGTTTCTACGGATGTATCCCCTGGATACTTATTGAATGTTTCTACATATATGTATCCCCTGGATACTTACTGATTGTTTCTACGTATGTCTCCCCTGGATACTTATTGATTGTTACTACGTATGTATCCCCTGGATACTTATTGACTGTTTCTACGTATATGTATCCCGTGGATACTGATTGATTGTTTCTATGTATGTATCCCCCTGGATACTTATTGACTGTTTCTACGTATGTATCCCCCTGGATACCTATTGATTGTTTCTACGTATGTATCCCCTGGATACTTATTTACTGTTTCTACGTATGTATCCCCTGGATAAGTATTGACGGTTTCTACGTATGTATCCCCTGGATACTTATTGATTGTTTCTACGCATGTATCCAATCTTATATCTCGTAAACCTCTCCCTAGATATTTTTTGATGGCTAGGTTGCTTGTTCAAATCATCCCTATTTAGTTTTAACTATTATCATTATTTCTTAAGAACTACTGGACAGATCTTTCTAAAATGATCAAGTTTGTTCTGATGGATTACCGTGACCCTCTTCAAGGTCATCAAGATCAATTTCATGTTTAAAATAAAGTATGAGAAACCAGATTAATAATCTTGATCCACATGGGGGCCTTAAATTTGTTAAAATATCAATAGTTTTGTTTAAATTTGTCATATGTTCTGACCCCCTCAAAATTCAGGGAAAACTTCATTTGACTTCAGAAAGTGCTTAATGCTGCTTACATTAATTGTGCTCTTTGATACACAGAAATTGCTAAATGTTTCTTACATTAATCGTGCTCTTTGATACACAGAAATTGCTAAATGTTGCTTACATTAATCGTTCTCTTTGATACACAGAAAGTGCTAAATGTTGCTTACATTATTCGTTCTCTTTGATACACAGAAAGTGCTAAATGCTGCTTACATTAATCGTTCTCTTTGATACACAGAAATTGCTAAATGTTTTTACATTCATCGTGCTCTTTGATACACAGAAAGTGCTAAATGTTGCTTACATTAATCGTGCTCTTTGATACACAGAAAGTGCTAAATGTTGCTTACATTAATCGTTCTCTTAGATACACAGAAAGTGCTAAATGCTGCTTACATTAATCATGCTCTTTGATACACAGAAATTGCTAAATGTTTCTTACATTCATCGTGCTCTTTGATACACAGAAAGTGCTAAATTTTGCTTACATTAATCGTTCTCTTTGATACACAGAAAGTGCTAAATGTTGTTTACATTAATTGTGCTCTTTGATACACAGAAAGTGCTAAATGTTGTTTACATTAATCGTGCTCTTTGATACACAGAAAGTGCCGGTGGCTTGTGCAGCGACGGGTGTGAAGCACCTCCACCACCGCGCACTCGAGTTTGACATCGGTGTCTACTTCGAAGCTAACGGACATGGAACGGTAAGCAATAAATATATGTGAACATTTGTTCAGTTTCTTACTCCTAAATATCTCATTAACAGTACACATTACTGTAGTGTAATTACTTGATCAGTAACTATATTGTATAAAATGACTGAAATTACTCTAAATTACACTAAATGTCTTCATATTAATAGCTTGTCAAAAACTACTTTAAGTTAGTGCCTCAATATTGTAGTGAATAAACAAGATTATTTTGGGGGTTTATAAAGTACATGTATATATATACTGAATGAAATGTGTGCTTTGGCCTTTGCATAAATCTGCAAAGTATGCCTTATACCCTTGTTCGGTCATACTATTGTCGCTAGTAGGCAGTCACATTAAAGCATGCTGTTGTGAGATATATAGCAGCGTGTCCCATTGGATAGAATTGGAGTAATTATAGCTAATGACACTATATCAAACCCAGTAATTTTTTTATTTGAGGCAGGTGGAGCTGACCAGCTCAAAAAAAACAACCTGTATTTAGATAAAGATGGTTTGCCTACCATGACAACTATCAGGACCAGAAGGCTTGTCAGGACTTACATAACTAAATAATTTACTATATGTTACTAAGGGCCCTGTCACACCTAGCCACGTTGCCACTGCGATTGCACGGCATTGTTAAATTTCCCAGAGTGCTGTGAGATTGCAGGAAAAATTGATATTTTTCATGAAGATGTTGATGTCACGGCGTTCTCACGGCGACCTTGACGTTTCTACGGAGCTGCATGGCGTTCTACTGCGTTCCTACAGAGTTCTAGTAGGCGATTGTCTGCGCTCTCATGGCGCTTCCACTGCGTGCATCGAGTTGTCACGACGCCGTATAAGCGTGGTAGAGACACAGTGTCATCTCAGAGAACGCCATACGATTGCCGTGCAAGCGCCACCGATAACCATTGCGTTTGCACTGCGACCTCTGTGAGCGCCCATGGTGATCATGTGGCGTTGTAGGAAACCTAACTGCGTTTCTACGGCGACCTCACGGCGTTCCCACTGCGCTCTTATCAGAACGCAGAGCGACGGCTTTTTTGGACACGCTAACTGCGTTCACTGGCGATGTCACTGCGTTGCCGTGGCAATCCTTGCGATTCCACTGTGCGCAGATCGGTGTTCTGGATTTTACTTAGACGCATTGGGAACGTGGCCCTATTGTGACAGGGGTTTTAGCTTTTGAGGTAATAGCGTTAGTATTTGAAATTCAGCACCAGTGACAACTGTCTAGATTCACAGATGCATACCTGACTAAGGCTTCAAAAGTAATTTTCTGGCAAGTTTAGTGGCATATTAGAGCGTTACAGGCGTCTGCTTTTGACAACCGGAAGTTTACAAGCCAAACCGGTGAAGTGGGATGGGAACACCCCTGACATTTGACCCCATATCAATCCGCCATCACATATTAAAATCTACCAAAAGACAAGTATACATTTTTGTAAAGTTAAATATCTGTATATTTCATTCAATGTAAAATACCTCACCAATTACCTATTTAAAAACTTGTAAAGATTGATTGTCTACAATAATAAAGAGATGGATGGCTCAAGAGCCCCAGGGCCACAGATATGGAAATGTTGTTGAGAAAACACAGCAGTAAAGCTATTTCATATTTCCACATAAGAAATTCAATGACCTGGAAATCCAGTTTTATGTTCCATGAATTAAGAACTTTCCATGAAAATAACAGATATTGTCCATACCTTAATAACATTGTCCACATCTTTATAGCATTGTCCACACCTTTATAACATTGTCCACACCTTTATAACATTGGCCACACCTTTATAACATTATCCACACCTTTATAACATTGTCAACACCTTTATAACATTGTCCACACCTTTATAACATTATCCCCACCTTTATAACATTGTCCACACCTTTATAACATTATCCACACCTTTATAACATTATCCACACCTTTATAACATTGTCCACACCTTTATTGTCCACACCTTTATAACATTGTCCACATCTTTATAGCATTGTCCACTCCTTTATAACATTGTCCACACCTTTATAACATTATCCACACATTTATAACATTGTCCACACCTTTATAACATTGTCCACATCTTTATAACATTGGCCACACCTTTATAGAATTGGCCACACCTTTATAACATTGTCCACACCTTTATAACATTATCCACACCTTTATAACATTGTCCACACCTTGATACCTTTATAACATTGTCCACACCTTTATAACATTGTCCACACCTTGACACCTTTATAACATTGTCCACACATTTACAACATTGTCCACACCTTTATAACATTGTCCACACATTTATAACATTGTCCACACATTTATAACATTGTCCACACCTTTATAACATTGTCCACACCTTTATTGTCCACACCTTTATAACATTGTCCACATCTTTATAACATTGTCCACACCTTTATAACATTGTTCACACCTTTATAACATTGTCCACACCTTTATAACATTGTCCACACCTTCAAAATATTGTCCACACCTTGATACCTTTATAACATTGTCCACACCTTTATAACATTGTCCACACATTTATAACATTGTCCACACCTTTATTGTCCACACCTTTATAACATTGTTAACACCTTTATAACATTGTCCACACGTTTATAACATTGTCCACACATTTATAACATTGTCCACACCTTTATAACATTGTCAACACCTTTATAACATTGTCCACATCTTCATAACATTGTCCACACCTTTATAACATTGTTCACACCTTTATAACATTGTCCACACCTTTATAACATTGTCAACACCTTTATAACATTATCCACACCTTTATAACATTGTCCACTCCTTCATAACATTGTCCACACCTTTATGACATTGTCCACATATTTAAAACATTGTCAACACCTTTATAACATTGTCCACATCTTTATAACATTGGCCACATCTTTATAACATTGTCCACACCTTTATAACATTGTCCACACCTTTATAACATCGTCCCCATCTTTATAACATTATCCGCACCTTTATAACATTGTCCACACCTTTATAACATTGTCCACACCTTTATAACATCATCCACACCTTTATAGCATCGTCCACACCTTTATAACATTGTCCACACCTCTATAACATTGTCCACACCTTTATAACATTGTCCACACCTTTATAACATTGTCCACACCTTCATAACATTGTCCACACCTTTATGACATTGTCCACATATTTAAAACATTGTCAACACCTTTATAACATTATCCACACCTTTATAACATTGTCCACACCTCTATAACATTTGTCACACCTCTATAACATTGGTCACACCTTTATAACATTGTCCACACCTTCATAACATTGTCCACACCTTTATGACATTATCCACACCTTTATAACATTGTCCACACCTTTATAACATTGCCCACACCTCTATAACATTGGTCACACCTCTATAACATTGTCCACACCTTTATAACATTCTCCACACCTTTATAACATTGTCCACACATTTATAACATGTCCACACCTTTATAACATTGTCCACACCATTACAAGTTATAACATTGGCCACACCTTTATAACATTGTCCACATCTTTATAACATTGTCCACACCTTTATAACATTGTCCACACATTTATAACATTGTCCACACCTTTATAACATTGTCCACACCTTTATATCATTGTCCACACCTTTATAACATTATACGCACCTTTATAACATTGTCCACACCTTTATACCATTGTCCACACCTTTATAACATTGTCCACACATTTATAACATTGTCCACACCTCTATAACATTGTCCACACATTTATAACATGTCCACACCTTTATAACATTGTACAAACCTTTATAACATTGTCCACACCTTTATAACATTGTCCACATCTTTATATCATTGGTAACATCTTTTAATCGATGTCCCTGACTTTGAACAAAGTCTACAGTCATTTTGAAAAATTCTGTTTAGTAAAGAAACTTTCAAGCATCACCTTTTACCTACTTAAGGTGTCTGTGTTAGTGTTTATGGTTTAAAAATTCTATAATGAAGTCAGTTTTAATCCAAGTTTTAGATTTAACAAATATTTAACAAAATCGCTTTTACAACTGTTGAGCAGTACTTTCTCACAACAAGCTACTGTTGCTAGAGATTGATAGCATAAAGATGACCTAGAAATGTGTAAATCAAATATACATCTTCCAAATAGTTGTGAGCAGTATCCATTTTGTTGTTGTATTACCTCTGTTTCAGGTCATATTTAGTGACAATGCTTCAGGTCAGATACAAAAAGCAGCCACAGATAGCAGGTACTATATTCTACTTAAAAACAATATCTTACTTACCAGTAGTTTCGGAGTGTTTCGCCAGCTTGGTATGATATCACTCAGATTGATCTGGGCTGTAATACAGATGTATGTGGGCTGTCATACAGATGTATGTGGTCTGTCATACAGATGTATGTGGGTTGTCATACATATGAATGTGGGTTTTCATACAGATGTATGTGGGCTTTAATACAGATATATGTGGGCTTTAATACAGATGTATGTGGGCTGTAATACAGATATATGTGGACTGTAATACAGATGTATGTGGGTTGTCATACCGATGTATGTGGGCTTTAATACAGATATATGTGGGCTTTTATACAGATTGATCTGGGCTGTAATACAGATGTATGTGGGCTGTCATACAGATGTATGTGGGCTGTTATACAGATATATGTGGGCTTTAATACAGATATATGTGGGTTGTCATACAGATGTATTTGGGCTGTCATACAGATATATGTGGGCTGTAATACAGATATATGTGGGCTGTAATACAGATATATGTGGGCTGTCATACAGATGTATGTGGGCTGTTATACAGATATATGTGGGCTTTAATACAGATATATGTGGGCTTTTATAAAGATTGATCTGGGCTGTAATACAGATGTATGTGGGCTGTCATCCAGATGTATGTGGGCTGTTATACAGATATATGTGGGCTTTAATACAGATATATGTGGGCTTTTATAAAGATTGATCTGGGCTGTAATACAGATGTATGTGGGCTTTAATACAGATATATGAGGGCTGTAATACAGATGTATGTGGGCTGTAATACAGATGTATGTGGGTTGTCATACCGATGTATGTGGGCTTTAATACAGATATATGTGGGCTTTAATACAGATGTATGTTGGCTGTAATACAGATATATGTGGACTGTAATACAGATGTATGTGGGTTGTCATACCGATGTATGTGGGCTTTAATACAGATATATGTGGGCTTTTATACAGATTGATCTGGGCTGTAATACAGATGTATGTGGGCTGTCATACAGATGTATGTGGGCTTTAATACAGATGTATTTGGGCTGTCATATAGATGTATGTGGGCTTTAATACAGATATATGTGGGCTGTAATACAGATGTATGTGGGCTGTAATACAGATATATGTGGGCTTTGATACAGATATATGTGGGCTGTAATACAAATATATGTGGGCTTTAATGTAGATATATGTGGGCTGTAATACAGATTGATATGGGCTGTAATACAGATGTATGTGGGCTGTAATACAGATGTATGTGGGCTGTAATACAGATTGATATGGGTTGTAATACAGATTGATATGGGCTGTAATATAGATTGATATGGGTTGTAATACAGATTGTTGTGGGCTGTAATACAGATTAATGTGGACTGTAGTACAGATGACAGACAGTAATCTATATGTTTCCTCAGCTTATCGGCGAAACAACAAGAAGGAGCTGCACAACTGTGTACAGTTATGGACCTCATTAACCAGGTAAGATGTCATGTACCTCATCCACCAAGTAAGATGTCATGTACCTCATCCTTCAGGTAAGATTTCATGTACCTCATCCTTCAGGTAAGATGTCATGTACATCATCCACCAGGTAAGATGTCATGTACCTCATCCATCAGGTAAGATGTCATGAACCTCATCCTTCAGGTAAGATGTCATGTACATCATCCACCAGGTAAGATGTCATGTACCTCATCCTTTAGGTAAGATGTCATGAACCTCATCCAGCAGGTAAGATGTCATGTACCTCATCCTTCAGGTAAGATGCCATGTACCTCATCCTTCAGGTAAGATGCCATGTAACTCATCCTTCAGGTAAGATGTCATGTACATCATCCACCAGTTAAGATGTCATGTACATCATCCACCAGATAAGATGTCATGTACCTCATCCATCAGGTAAGATGTCATGAACCTCATCCAGCAGGTAAGATGTCATGTACCTCATCCTTCAGGTAAGATGCCATGTAACTCATCCTTCAGGTAAGATGTCATGTACATCATCCACCAGGTAAGATGTCATGTACCTCATCCTTTAGGTAAGATGCCATGTACCTCATCCTTCAGGTAAGATGTCATGTACATCATCCACCAGTTAAGATGTCATGTACCTCATCCTTCAGGTAAGATGTCATGTACCTCACCCTTCAGGTAAGATGTCATGTACCTCATCCAGCAGGTAAGGTGTCATGTTGCCATCCTTCAGGTAAGATGTCATGTACCTCATTCATCATGTAAGATGTCATATACCTCATCCTTCAGGTAAGATGTCATGTACCTCATCCATCAGGTAAGATGTCATGTACCTCATCCTTCAGGTAAGATGTCATGTACCTCATCCATCAGGTAAGATGTCATATACCTCATCCTTCAGGTAAGATGTCATGTACCTCATTCACCAGGTAAGCTGTTATGTACTTAATCCACCAGGTAAGCTGTTATCTACTTCAGTCACCAGGTAAGTTGTTATGTACCTTATCGACCAGGTAAGATGTCTTTTCCCTCATCCACTAGGTTAGATTCCATTTACCTTATCAACCAGGTAATATGTCATGTACCTCATCCACTAAGTAAGATGTCATGTACCTCATCCACTAAGTAAGATGTCATGTACCTCATCCACCAGGTAAGCTGTCATGTACCTCATCCACTAAGTAAGATGTCATGTAACTCATTCACCAGGTAAACTGTTATCTACTTCATCCACCAGGTTAACTGTTATCTACTGCATCCACTAGGCAGGATGTCATGTACCTCATCCACCAGGTAAGATATCATGTACTTCATCCACCAGGTAAGATATCATGTACTTCATCCACCAGGTAAGATGTCATGTACTTCATCTACCAGGAAAGATGCCATGTTTATTGTCTTATTTCATATCACTTTACATGTTAAACTTGATGATGTCCTATTATTTTCTACAGACTGTTGGTGATGCTATATCAGATATGCTCCTTGTGGAGGTCATTCTGGCGACCTATGGATGGGAAGCCAGTAACTGGGACAGTGCCTACACTGATCTTCCAAACAGACAGCTAAAGGTCAAGGTTAGTCCTGCTACAAATACATATTACTGTTTGTACAGTAACTTATTTTAGGAGCACATTTCTCGATTAAAAATATCCACACCATGCAACCTTTTTTGCTAGCTATAAAGGTGAGTTGTTTGGAATGGTCATAAATTTACTAACAGTATGAAAGGTAACAGCTATGGCTACTGACAGTAAAATAATTGACAGTTATGGTTTCTGACAGTAAAATAATTGACAGCTATGGTTACTGACAGTAAAGTAATTGACAGCTATGGTTACTGACAGTTATTTAATTGACAGCTATAGTTACTGACAGTAAAATAATTGACAGCTATGGTTACTGGCAGTAAAGTAATTCACAGCTATGGTTACTGACAGTAAAATAATTGACAGCTATGGTTACTGACAGTGAAGTAATTGACAGCTATGGTTTCTGACAATAAAATAATTGACAGCTATAGTTACTGACAGTAAAATAATTGACAGCTATGGTTACTGACAGTTATTTAATTGACAGCTATAGTTACTGACAGTAAAATAATTGACAGCTATGGTTACTGACAGTAAAATAGTTGACAGCTATGGTTACTGACAGTAAGATAATTGACAGCTATGGTTTCTGACAGTGTTTGTATAGTGGTGATTGGGTACAGGTGGAGTGGTGGATGATGTACCACGTCAGACAAACAGTGGTCTGAACAGCCTTGATGATGATGGTGGGGTGGATAACATACACAACGATCAACTTGTATTAATATCATTTGATAAGTATCTATTGTTAACAGGTGGAAGACCGAACAGTGATAACAACAGCTGATGCTGAGAGGACAGCCGTAACTCCCAAGGGTCTACAACAGGCTGTAGATAATCTGGTCGCCAAATACAACCATGGCAGGTCATTTGTAAGGTAAATAAAAACATAACTAATATTTTGGTTTATACAAATATGATCACATCATTGTTTGACATCCATCGATCATCTTGTTCAAACGACCATCCCTCCGTCGTCCACTCTTCCTTTAAACAACTTCTTCTAAGAAACCAACCAGGCTATAGTTATGATATTTGGCTGGTACAGTAGCTTCATTGAATTGAGCCCAGTAAAGTTCGCAAACAATAATGACCTTGACCTACTTTCAAGGTCACGGAGATAAAATATGTCTAAAACTTTAAATGCCTCCTTCTGAAGAACTGAAAGGCCTACATGTACAGTGATGATATTTGGTGGGTAAATTCCTTGGAAAGAGACTATCAATTTTTGCTGGTAGCTTCTTTGGATGGAGGCTGACAAAGTTTGTGACCAAAAATGACCTTGACCTACTTTCAAGTTAACAGAGGTCAAACATGTCAGAAACTTCAAATGAATTATTTTGAAGAACTAATAGGCAAAGAGTCATGATATATAGCGGGAAGCTTTCGTGGTTGGAGCCTTAGAGCCTTACAAACTTTGGGAATAAATATGACCTTGACCTACTTTCAAGGTCACAGGGGTCAAATATGTAAACAAAATCAAAAAACTTGTTCTTAAGAACCAAAAGTCCTAGCACCATAATATTTGGCTGATAGCTAGCTTTCCTAGTTGAAGCATTATAAAGTTTGCAAAGGAAAAAAGGACCTTGAACTTCTTTCAAGGTCTCTGAGGTCAAATATGTCAAAAACTTAAAACAACTTATTCTGGAGAACTGAAAATCCTAGAATCATAATTTTTGACTGCTAGCTTTCTTGGATGAAGCTGACAAAGTTTGCCAACAAAAATGAGTTTTAGCTATTTTCAAGCTCACAGAGGTCAAATATGTCAAAACTTCAAAAGATTTCTTCTGAAGAATCCAGACACTTGATGAGAGGTTTTAAATGAATATTAAAAAAATCAGCTGAGCAAGCTATTAAAGCCCCCTGACTGCTGTTCCTATAAGCTGCTTCCAGTCAAGAAAGGCTGAAAGGATTTTTTATTAAGTTTAGTCGAGAGCATTCATTGTCGTATGTAGGGTTTGGCCCCCCTTAGGCCAGGAGAAGCCAAATAAAGTTAAATTTAAAATCCTCCTGTACAATGTATAAAATGACTTTGTCTAAATAAGATCTGGAGTATCCTTTGGCCTTTGGGACTCAATATGTGTATACCCTGTAACAGAATGGGTAAAGGGACTGCCAGCCAAATGGGTGAAATAGGGGTACCAAAATTTAAGCAAAATTGCTAAGGATCAGGAAATGAAGTGTGAAATAAAACTAAAAAGAGTTGTACCCCTTGGCACTAAGAGAAAGACGCCATTATGAGAAATACTTGTATGTAATTGTTGTTGAAAGTATTTTGCCATTATTGAATGATAAAGGCCCGCTTATGGCCTCTTGTTTGTTTGGTTGGGATGAAGGTAGTTATTTTTTTTCAACTTAACGAATTAATTCTGCTACATTTTCACTGGTGCCGACAGGTTGTGTTGATTACATCTTCACCAGTTATGCCAAGTTGTTTAGGATTACCTATATACCTGTGTTGTCAGGGCGGTCTTATACTGTTTTATTTACTGGTCATTTTATTTTTCTAGGCCCTCCGGGACAGAAGATGTTGTGAGAGTTTATGCAGAGGCTGATACACAGGTAAATATAATAGTTTACCACCCTAGTTAAATAACACACAAACTACAAGTAAACAAAAGACTGGAAACTTGTCAAATAAAGTAATTACACAAGTACTGTATTTGACCTAATGAATGCACAGGGTGCGGGTAATTGAGACAAGAGGCCCATGGGCCTAAACGGTCACCTGAGTCTACAGTATTTATTTTTGTTGTTGAAATATGTACCAATTTGAGTAAAAAATAGTATAATGTTAACTTAACTTTGTCAGGACCATGAGCTGATCATTCCTAGACCAATTTTAAGTGAGATCGGCCTATTAGAACTTAGTAGCAAAATAGCGGCCATGGCAGCCAAATTGTATTTCTGATTGACCCGAAAAATAACAACACTTTGTCAGGACCATGATTCGATCATTCCTACAAAGTTTCAGTTCAATCGGCCAAGTAGATCTTTACTTTAAGTTTGAAATAGTTTACCAAAATGGCAGCCGTGGTGGCCATATTGGATTTCTGATCGACCCGAAAAATAACAACACTTTGTCAGGACCATGAGTCAATCATTCCTACAAAGTTTCAGTTCAATCGGCCTAGCAGAACTTGACTTTAAGTTTGAAATATGTTTTCAAAATGGTGGCCGTGGCGGCCATATTGGATTTATGATTGACCTGAAAAATAACAACACTTTGTCAGGACCATGAGTCGATCATTCCTACAAACTTTAAGTTCAATCGGTCCAGCAGAACTTGACTTTAAGTTTGAAATAGGTTTTCAAAATGGCGGCCGTGGCGGCCATATTGGATTTCTGATCGACCCGAAAAATAACAACACTTTGTCAGGACCATGAGGCGATCATTCCTACCAACTTTCAGTTCAATCGGTCCAGCAGAACTTGACTTTAAGTTTGAAATAGGTTTTCAAAATGGCGGCCGTGGCGGCCATATTGGATTTCTGATCGACCCGAAAAATAACAACACTTTGTCAGGACCATGAGGCGATCATTCCTACCAACTTTCAGTTCAATCGGTCCAGCAGAACTTGACTTTAAGTTTGAAATAGGTTTTCAAAATGGCGGCCGTGGCGGCCATATTGGATTTCTGATCGACCCGAAAAATAACAACACTTTGTCAGGACCATGAGGCGATCATTCCTACCAACTTTCAGTTCAATCGGTCCAGCAGAACTTGACTTTAAGTTTGAAATAGGTTTTCAAAATGGCGGCCGTGGCGGCCATATTGGATTTCTGATCGACCCGAAAAATAACAACACTTTGTCAGGACCATGAGGCGATCATTCCTACCAACTTTCAGTTCAATCGGTCCAGCAGAACTTGACTTTAAGTTTGAAATAGGTTTTCAAAATGGCGGCCGTGGCGGCCATATTGGATTTCTGATCGACCCGAAAAATAACAACACTTTGTCAGGACCATGAGGCGATCATTCCTACCAACTTTCAGTTCAATCGGTCCAGCAGAACTTGACTTTAAGTTTGAAATAGGTTTTCAAAATGGCGGCCGTGGCGGCCATATTGGATTTCTGATCGACCCGAAAAATAACAACACTTTGTCAGGACCATGAGGCGATCATTCCTACCAACTTTCAGTTCAATCGGCCCAGCAGAACTTGACTTTAAGTTTGAAATGTAAAATGTTAACGGACGACGGACGACGGCCGAAAACGGATAGCAATAGGTCACTTGAGCTAAAGCTCAGGTGACCTAAAAAGGGGCGCCCTTATTCAGTAACCTTTATCTGGACTGTTTTCTGCTACATATTATAACAGTCTAACAGTTTCCAAGGTATGCTAGGATGTGTGTGTATATTTATAGATGATTAACGGTGAGTGAATAGAACTCTAGTTTTTTCGAACTTTCGGGATGCTGTCAAAATCGTAAAGATAGTACCACTGCGTCTACTTGCTAACATCAATATTATATTAAATTCGGACAAAATGGATACGTTCGTTTTTCCGTATGTTAATCATCCGTTTTACGTGCATATTTTTCATCCGTAGAACGGATGTATAGTACCACGCATGTAAAACGGATGGAACTCGACATCTGTAACCGTACGCTTTACAGATGTATTTCTCCACGGACGTAAAACAGACGTAGCTATTTTACCTGTGTACCCCAGGAAGTTAACGTCCAGACTGTGTCTAAGCCTGGGGTCTAATATTGTTTTACAAACCTTTGTGGTTAACCGAGCATCTGCAAATCCCACTGAATCTTTCAAGTGTGTATGCATAAAAGAAGTCACTAATTACCAATTAACCACTGAGGGGCGCCATGAGCCCGATTGCCCTGGGCAACTTAACATCAATAAACACTTATGACATTTGCTTGATTTTGATTGAAAAGATAATGCAGCTATGTTTTGACTGTAAGAAGTCACAAAACATCCAAATGGCTCATTTTTTATGCAAATTAACAGGAGCATTACTAAATGATGTCTTAAAATTGAATTCACAGCAGTTGGTCAAAGTTCAAATCATTGTAATGCCTGTTTGAGGATCATTATTGAGTCTCTGTCGTGCTATTTATAGTGGATTTTCTATCGTGCTATTTATAGTGGAGTTTCTGTCGTGCTATTTATAGTGGAGTTTCTGTCCTGCTATTTATAGTGGAGTTTCTGTCCTGCTATTTATAGTGGAGTCTCTGTCTTGCTATTTATAGTTGAGTCTCTGTCCTGCTATTTATAGTGGTTTTTCTATCGTGCTATTTATAGTGGAGTTTCTGTCCTGCTATTTATAGTTGAGTTTCTGTCCTGCTATTTATAGTGGAATTTCTGTCCTGCTATTTATAGTGGAGTCTCTGTCGTGCTATTTATAGTGGAGTCTCTATCGTGCTATTTATAGTGGAGTTTCTGTCGTGCTATTTATAGTGGAGTTTCTGTCGTGCTATTTATAGTGGAGTTTCTGTCGTGCTATTTATAGTGGAGTTTCTGTCGTGCTATTTATAGTGGAGTTTCTGTCGTGCTATTTATAGTGGAGTTTCTGTCGTGCTATTTATAGTGGAGTTTCTGTCGTGCTATTTATAGTGGAGTTTCTGTCGTGCTATTTATAGTGGAGTTTCTGTCGTGCTATTTATAGTGGAGTTTCTGTCGTGCTATTTATAGTGGAGTTTCTGTCGTGCTATTTATAGTGGAGTTTCTGTCGTGCTATTTATAGTGGAGTTTCTGTCGTGCTATTTATAGTGGAGTTTCTGTCGTGCTATTTATAGTGGAGTTTCTGTCGTGCTATTTATAGTGGAGTTTCTGTCGTGCTATTTATAGTGGAGTTTCTGTCGTGCTATTTATAGTGGAGTTTCTGTCGTGCTATTTATAGTGGAGTTTCTGTCGTGCTATTTATAGTGGAGTTTCTGTCGTGCTATTTATAGTGGAGTTTCTGTCGTGCTATTTATAGTGGAGTTTCTGTCGTGCTATTTATAGTGGAGTTTCTGTCGTGCTATTTATAGTGGAGTTTCTGTCGTGCTATTTATAGTGGAGTTTCTGTCGTGCTATTTATAGTGGAGTTTCTGTCGTGCTATTTATAGTGGAGTTTCTGTCGTGCTATTTATAGTGGAGTTTCTGTCGTGCTATTTATAGTGGAGTTTCTGTCGTGCTATTTATAGTGGAGTTTCTGTCGTGCTATTTATAGTGGAGTTTCTGTCGTGCTATTTATAGTGGAGTTTCTGTCGTGCTATTTATAGTGGAGTTTCTGTCGTGCTATTTATAGTGGAGTTTCTGTCGTGCTATTTATAGTGGAGTTTCTGTCGTGCTATTTATAGTGGAGTTTCTGTCGTGCTATTTATAGTGGAGTTTCTGTCGTGCTATTTATAGTGGAGTTTCTGTCGTGCTATTTATAGTGGAGTTTCTGTCGTGCTATTTATAGTGGAGTTTCTGTCGTGCTATTTATAGTGGAGTTTCTGTCGTGCTATTTATAGTGGAGTTTCTGTCGTGCTATTTATAGTGGAGTTTCTGTCGTGCTATTTATAGTGGAGTTTCTGTCGTGCTATTTATAGTGGAGTTTCTGTCGTGCTATTTATAGTGGAGTTTCTGTCGTGCTATTTATAGTGGAGTTTCTGTCGTGCTATTTATAGTGGAGTTTCTGTCGTGCTATTTATAGTGGAGTTTCTGTCGTGCTATTTATAGTGGAGTTTCTGTCGTGCTATTTATAGTGGAGTTTCTGTCGTGCTATTTATAGTGGAGTTTCTGTCGTGCTATTTATAGTGGAGTTTCTGTCGTGCTATTTATAGTGGAGTTTCTGTCGTGCTATTTATAGTGGAGTTTCTGTCGTGCTATTTATAGTGGAGTTTCTGTCGTGCTATTTATAGTGGAGTTTCTGTCGTGCTATTTATAGTGGAGTTTCTGTCGTGCTATTTATAGTGGAGTTTCTGTCGTGCTATTTATAGTGGAGTTTCTGTCGTGCTATTTATAGTGGAGTTTCTGTCGTGCTATTTATAGTGGAGTTTCTGTCGTGCTATTTATAGTGGAGTTTCTGTCGTGCTATTTATAGTGGAGTTTCTGTCGTGCTATTTATAGTGGAGTTTCTGTCGTGCTATTTATAGTGGAGTTTCTGTCGTGCTATTTATAATGGAGTTTCTGTCGTGCTATTTATAGTGGAGTTTCTGTCGTGCTATTTATAGTGGAGTTTCTGTCGTGCTATTTATAGTGGAGTTTCTGTCGTGCTATTTATAGTGGAGTTTCTGTCGTGCTATTTATAGTGGAGTTTCTGTCGTGCTATTTATAGTGGAGTTTCTGTCGTGCTATTTATAGTGGAGTTTCTGTCGTGCTATTTATAGTGGAGTTTCTGTCGTGCTATTTATAGTGGAGTTTCTGTCGTGCTATTTATAGTGGAGTTTCTGTCGTGCTATTTATAGTGGAGTTTCTGTCGTGCTATTTATAGTGGAGTTTCTGTCGTGCTATTTATAGTGGAGTTTCTGTCGTGCTATTTATAGTGGAGTTTCTGTCGTGCTATTTATAGTGGAGTTTCTGTCGTGCTATTTATAGTGGAGTTTCTGTCGTGCTATTTATAGTGGAGTTTCTGTCGTGCTATTTATAGTGGAGTTTCTGTCCTGCTATGTATAGTGGAGTTTCTGTTGTGCTATTTATAGTGGAGTTTCTGTCGTGCTATTTATAATGGAGTTTCTGTCGTGCTATTTATAGTTGAGTTTCTGTCGTGCTATTTATAGTGGAGTTTCTGTCGTGATATTTATATTGGAGTTTCTGTCGTGCTATTTATAGTGGAGTTTGTGTCGTGCTATTTATATTGGAGTTTCTGTCGTGCTATTTATAGTAGAGTCTGTCGTGCTATTTATAGTCGATTTTCTGTCGTGCTATTTATAGTGGAGTTTCTGTCCTGCTATGTATAGTGGAGTTTCTGTTGTTCTATTTATAGTGGAGTTTCTGTCGTGCTATTTATAGTTGAGTTTCTGTCGTGCTATTTATAGTGGACAATCTTGTTTCATAAGCTGGCTATGCTGCATGTTCCTTGTTGTTTCCAAGGGGGTAATGTCCTAGGGGTATAACATTGTTTTACTGGAGACAATGAGACAGAAATATACATTTAGGTAAAATAAATATATGATAAACAAGGGATGTCAGTAATAAGTCCCCATTCAGCTGTTTAAGGAGACTCTTGAAAAAAAAATCATTAAAATGATTTGTTCTCAAATTGTGTTTGCAGGTGAATGCTGACAAACTAGCTGATGAGGTTGGCTTAGCAGTCTACAGTATGGCTGGTGGTATTGGAGACCCACCTAATGCATCATGATAACCACATCTTCTTACTACTTTGTGTAATTTATATATTATGAACTTAATACCTGTGAGGGGTAATACTTGTTGAGGGTATAAACAATGTAGGTGATCACTGTGGTTTACCTAGTTTTTGATATCACATGTCAAATTTCTCAGTTAAGGATGGTGTATGATTTTAGAGACACTGTAGAGAAATGTTTCCTATATAGGGTGTTTGAGAACAGATTGTAATGTATTGACAGGGGCAAATAATTGCAAAATAGACTAAGGCTTAATAAAAAAGGCTTAACCTTAGCAGGTACTAGAACTTATACAAATTGCAATCATATGCCAATCAATTGGCCCTACGTTGGGATTTATCAAAATGTTACTTTAGATATTTCACGTAAGTTCATTGCTTTGAGCAGTATATGTGTCAACACCTGTCATGACCAGACATGTGGAGAGGCAGGTGAAGACAGGTTTAACACTAGTTACTTTACACTGGGGATGGCAATCTCGCCGATTGTTTGGCTTGGCCTAAGTACTCTCATTATCCATTAATCCAACATTTATACAACTCACTTCAGAAATATTTTTATTGTAAGAATTTAGCGATGTTTTATTTATTACATATGTCTAGTTGTTATGTAGCAATGTAAGGGAGACTGACTTTATAACTGTTAACATGTCTTATAGAACTATTTTATGCCAGCTATGTGGAATAAACAGATCAAAAATATGAAACCTGGAACTGAGTAATTCTTTCAAGTAGCAACTCTCACATCCAGCACCAAACAACGATACCGAATCAAGGGAGCTAATCCTCCACAACCAGGTCTGTCTCAATATCCTATCAATTGTTTCCCAGTACTAACGTAGTTAATTGGTCCAGGGGGTATGATGTGGCTCAGATAACACAATCTACTAAAAGGGCTCAATTTAATTACTACAAAATTAAAACAATTTTGATTACCTACATGTGCCTATAGCATTAAATTACATTATTAGACCCAAATTTCTTGATGCATATTAAACTTTCAGCAAAGTCTGGAATTTTTTCCTATGATAACACTGCTGATATACCATTTATGAATGGAACATTGATGAGTCAAATTTCTTGCTGTTTCGAACTTATTATTACAACTTTAACAAATACTTATTTGAAGTAAAACAATTACTGTACGAGAACATCGTAACAGCCTGATGTCATTTTAACACCCAAACATGAAAACAACTGTGTATAAATACATGAAACATATTTTTTCTAATTGCATTAAATCAAATGTTCTGGATTTTACTTAAAAACATTTTGCCCCGTTTTCCGTCACTTAACAATCAGATTCGGTTACAGTATATATACAGGATCTCAAAGGTCCTCTTCGTTCAACATTCGTGAGTCAAAATCTTAATCTTTTGAATTTTCCAGATGGTATCGCAAAGTTTGAAACATTGAAGTTTGACTGTCATTGTTTAATAATAAACTCCCTATGACATTAACGTAACATTATGTCACTTGGTTGGTTAGTCTTACTTTCTGGAGGGTAAAGATGACCATGACAAGGTAAAGATAACATTATGTCACTTGCTTGGTAAGTCTTACTTTCTGGAAGGTAAAGAGGACCATGACAAGGTAAAGATAACATTGTCACTTGCTTGGTTAGTCTTATTTTCTGGAAGGGATGACCATGACAAGGTAAAGATAACATTATGTCACTTACATTATGTCACTTGCTTGGTAAGTCTTACTTTCTTGAAGGGATACCAATAGGTAAAGAGGACCATGACAAGGTAAAGATAACATTATGTCACTTGCTAGGTTAGTCTTATTTTCTGGAAGGGATACCAATAGGTAAATAGGACCATGACAAGATAAAGATAACATTATGTCACTTGCTTGGTTAGTCTTATTTTCTGGAAGGGATACCAATAGGTAAAGAGGACCATGACAAGGTAAAGATAACATTATGTCACTTGCTTGGTAAGTCTTACTTTCTGGAAGGGATACCAATAGGTAAAGAGGACCATGACAAGGTAAAGATAACATTATGTCACTTGCTTGGTAAGTCTTACTTTCTGGAAGGGATACCAATAGGTAAAGAGGACCATGACAACGTTGTGCTGGGTTTATTGGCTTTAATTAAAATTACGTTAACTAATTTCAACACATTAGGTGCGTCATCTGTTTTGAAAGGTCTTTTTATTAAGTTACAATAGTACTGCATAATAATGTCTTTTGTGTTTCTCAGTTCCTTGTGTCAACACTAGTTCAAAAGTAAGAAAAATCATGCATAACATAAAAAAAAGTGATTTTCTGTGAAGTTGATTTTATTTGATTCATGGTTAAACATATGAGCTTTTACAGGTTATTTCTATAAATGGTTGAACACTAAAATATTAACATTAACAAGCATGCAAGAAAAATATAAAGCACAGATTGGCTTCATAAGACACATTACACACTGTTTGTATACTCAAGGTACAATATATTCAGTGTCTCCAACCCATGAAACTACCCCAAGGAAATCACTATTTGATTTTTATCATGAACCCCAAGGTGACAATGATGTGACCCAAGGTGAACAATGATGTGACCCAAGGTGACAATGATGTGACTTTAATAGCATGCAACACAATAATATACACAATCTGGTATAAATAAATAAATACTTAACAATCAATTTCATGATGATTGACCATTAAACATGTATGGTTCTAAAGCTTATATTAGAAGGTTATTGTTGTCACCGGAACTTGTGACTGAATCAGTGATGGTCAAAATTCTCAAATGAATCAAATGAATGCACCTGTGCATCATTTTCGCAGATGTGTGTGACCAATTCATTGTCATACTCTCATCATTTCCCAGACGTGTGTGACCAATTCATTGTCATACTCTCCTCATTTCACAGACGTGTATGACCAATTCATTGTCATACTCTCATCATTTCACAGACGTGTGTGATCAATTCATTGTCATATTCTCATCATTTCACAGACGTGTGTACCAATTCATTGTCATACTCATCATTTCCCAGACGTGTGTGACCAATTCATTGTCATACTCTCATCATTTTACAGACGTGTGTGACCAATTCATTGTCATACTCTCATCATTTCCCAGACGTGTGTGACCAATTCATTGTCATACTCTCATCATTTCACAGACGTGTATGACCAATTCATTGTCATATTCTCATCATTTCACAGACGTGTGAGACCAATTCATTGTCATACACATCATTTCCCAGACGTGTGTGACCAATTCATTGTCATACTCTCATCATTTCCCAGACGTGTGTGACCAATTCATTGTCATACTCTCCTCATTTCACAGACGTGTATGACCAATTCATTGTCATACTCTCATCATTTCACAGACGTGTGTGATCAATTCATTGTCATATTCTCATCATTTCACAGACGTGTGAGACCAATTCATTGTCATACTCATCATTTCACAGACGTGTGTGACCAATTCATTGTCATACTCTTTTCATTTCAGCACCTGTGCATCATTTTCGCAGATGTGTGTGACCAATTCATTGTCATCCTCTCATCATTTCACAGACGTGTGTGACCAATTCATTGTCATACTCTCATCATTTTACAGACGTGTGTGACCAATTCATTGTCATACTCTCATCCTTTCACAGACGTGTGTGACCAATTCATTGTCATACTCTCCTCATTTCACAGACGTGTGTGACCAATTCATTGTCATATTCTCATCATTTCACAGACGTGTGAGACCAATTCATTGTCATACTCATCATTTCCCAGACGTGTGTGACCAATTCATTGTCATACTCTTTTCATTTCACAGACGTGTGTGACCAATTAATTGTCATACTCTCATCATTTCACAGACGTGTGTGATCAATTCATTGTCATATTCTCATCATTTCACAGACGTGTGTTACCAATTCATTGTCATACTCTCATCATTTCACAGACGTGTGTGATCAATTCATTGTCATATTCTCATCATTTCACAGACGTGTGTAACCAATTCATTGTCATATTCTCATCATTTCACAGACATGTGTGACCAATTCTTTGCCATATTCTTATCATTTCACAGACGTGTGTGACCAATTCATTGTCATACTCTCATCATTTCGCAGACGTGTGTGACCAATTCATTGTCATATTCTCATCATTTCACAGACATGTGTGACCAATTCATTGCCATATTCTTATCATTTCACAGACGTGTGTGACCAATTCATTGTCATATTCTCATCTTTTCACAGACGTGTGAGACCAATTCATTGTCATACTCATCATTTCACAGACGTGTGTGACTTATTCATTGTCATATTCTCATCATTTCACAGACGTGTGTAACCAATTCATTGTCATATTCTCATCTTTTCCCAGACGTGTGAGACCAATTCATTGTCATACTCATCATTTCCCAGACGTGTGTGACCAATTCATTGTCATGCTCTTTTCATTTCACAGACGTGTGTGACCAATTAATTGTCATACTCTCATCATTTCACAGATGTGTGTGAACAATTCATTGTCATATTCTCATCATTTCACAGACGTGTGTAACCAATTCATTGTCATATTCTCATCTTTTCCCAGACGTGTGAGACCAATTCATTGTCATACTCTCATCATTTCACAGACGTGTGTGACCAATTCCTTGTCATACTCATCATTTCACAGACGTGTGTGACTTATTCATTGTCATATTCTCATCATTTCACAGACGTGTGTAACCAATTCATTGTCATATTCTCATCATTTCACAGACATGTGTGACCAATTCATTGTCATATTCTTATCATTTCACAGACGTGTGTGACCAGTTCATTGTCATACTCATCATTTCACAGACGTGTGTAACCAATTCATTGTCATATTCTCATCATTTCTCAGACATGTGTGACCAATTCATTGCCATATTCTCATCATTTCACAGACATGTGTGACCAATTCATTGTCATATTCTTATCATTTCACAGACGTGTGTGACCAATTCCTTGTCATACTCATCATTTCACAGACGTGTGTGCCCAATTCATTGTCATACTCATCATTTCACAGACATGTGTGACCAATTCTTTGCCATATTCTTATCATTTCACAGACGTGGGTGACCAATTCATTGTCATACTCTCTTCTTTTAACAGACGTTTGTGACCAATTCATTGTCATACTCAGCATTTCACAGACGTGTGTGACTTATTCATTGTCATATTCTCATCATTTCACAGACGTGTGTGACCAATTCCTTGTCATACTCATCATTTCACAGACGTGTGTGCCCAATTCATTGTCATACTCATCATTTCACAGACATGTGTGACCAATTCATTGTCATATTCTTATCATTTCACAGACGTGTGTGACCAATTCCTTGTCATACTCATCATTTCACAGACGTGTGTGACTTATTCATTGTCATATTCTCATCATTTCACAGACGTGTGGGACCAATTCATTGTCATACTCTCATCATTTTACAGACGTGTGTGACCAATTCATTGTCATGCTCTTTTCATTTCACAGACGTGTGTGACCAATTCATATACTCTCATCATTTCACAGATGTGTGTGAACAATTCATTGTCATATTCTCATCATTTCACAGACGTGTGTGACCAATTCATCGTCATACTCTTTTCATTTCACAGACGTGTGTGACCAATTCATCGTCATACTCTTTTCATTTCACAGACGTGTGTGACCAATTAATTGTCATACTCTCATCATTTCACAGATGTGTGTGACCAATTCATTGTCATACTCTCTTGTTTTAACAGACGTTTGTGACCAATTCATTGTCATACTCAGCATTTCACAGACGTGTGTGACTTATTCATTGTCATATTCTCATCATTTCACAGATGTGTGTGACCAATTCATTGTCATACTCTCTTCTTTTAACAGACGTTTGTGACCAATTCATTGTCATACTCAGCATTTCACAGACGTGTGTGACTTATTCATTGTCATATTCTCATCATTTCACAGACGTGTGGGACCAATTCATTGTCATACTCTCATCATTTTACAGACGTATGTGACCAATTCATTGTCACACTCATCATTTCACAGACGTGTGTGACCAATTCATTGTCATACTCTCTTCTTTTAACAGACGTTTGTGACCAATTCATTGTCATACTCATCATTTCACAGACGTGTGTGACCAATTCATTGTCATACTCTTTTCATTTCACAGACGTGTGTGACCAATTCATTGTCACATTCTCATCATTTCACAGACGTGTGTGACCAATTCATTGTCATACTCTTTTCATTTCACAGACGTGTGTGACCAATTCATTGTCATACTCTCTTCTTTTAACAGACGTTTGTGACCAATTCATTGTCATACTCATCATTTCACAGACGTGTGTGACTTATTCATTGTCATATTCTCCTCATTTCACAGACGTGTGTGACCAATTCATTGTAATATTCTCATCATTTCACAGACGTGTAAGCAATAAGCAATAATAATTTGAGGTACTTATATACTGCTTTTCACAACCTAGTTGGTAGGTCGTCTCAAAAGTGGTTCACTAATACTCTCATCATTTCACAGACGTGTGTGACTTATTCATTGTCATATTCTCCTCATTTCACAGACGTGTGTGACCAATTCATTGTCATACTCTCATCATTTTACAGACGTGTGTGACCAATTCATTGTCATACTCTCATCATTTTACAGACGTGTGTGACCAATTCATTGTCATACTCTCATCATTTTACAGACGTGTGTGACCAATTCATTGTCATACTCTCATCATTTTACAGACGTGTGTGACCAATTCATTGTCATACTCTCATCATTTTACAGACGTGTGTGACCAATTCATTGTCATACTCTCTTCTTTTAACAGACGTTTGTGACCAATTCATTGTCATACTCTTCATTTCACAGACGTGTGTGACCAATTCATTGTCATACTTCTCATCATTTCACAGACGTGTGTGACCAAATCATTGTCATATTCTCATCATTTCACAGACGTGTGTAACCAATTCATTGTCATATTCTCATCATTTCACAGACGTGTAAGCAATAAGCAATAATAATTTGAGGTTCTTATATACTGCTTTTCACAACCTAGTTGGTAGGTCGTCTCAAAAGTGGTTCACTAATATTATCAGTGGTAATAGGGCCTTTGTGACCAGCCAATATCTTTCTCAATTCCCTGGGGAGCATACAGCTGAGGCGGCGATTTTGGCAGTCACAGCTAGCATATTCTACAATTCTAGCATTGCCCAACCACATACTTATTTACAGCTGAGTAGACTGGAACAACGGAGTAAGTATCTTGCTCAAAGATACAATACAGTGCATGGCTTTGACTCGAACCCACAACCCTTCCGTCACAAGCCCGGCGTCCTACTCGTGACCGTGCCTCCTAATTATTACTATATATGTGTAACAGGAGAGTAGAAATGCATGGCCAGACCAGGATTCAAACCTGGATCCTCTGAACTCTAGACAAACACTCTACCAATTGATCGGGTTGTGTCTGTGATCGATCCAGTCAAAATGTGCAACATTCCTCCCTCCTTGAATAATTCAGATTTTTGACCACGAAAACACATGAGGCCCTAAACCACCTAACATGGATATACTTTATTGGGCGCCAAACATAATACGAGAGAAAATGCACGACCAGACCAATATTTGAACCAAGGACCCTCCAAGCTCTAGGTAGACACTTTACCAATAAAAGCCAATTGAGCTGCCTGATTGCCAGCAATCGACACAGTGTGGAATTCCGCTATACACAGTCATGTATTTTGTCAGGTGGAGTATTTTCTATCTCTAGTTAAAATCAAAAGAGTTCGGGTCATCAGAATTAAATCGTGCTTACATTGTGTCTTATCAATGCTAGTTTTGACTTTAGATACAATGACATTTCAGATAACACTTCTTAGTGTAAGGGAGATAACTCAATTACAATTCAGTCACAGGTATATAATAATGGTAGATTTAATTTGTGTTACTTATCTCCCTCTAGTACAAATTGTACATATAAATATATATGCTCAAGTCAGTAGACAGAAGTATATAACACATGTATAAGAACAAGAGGCCCTGTATCGCTCACCTGGATATCTAAGCAATCATGGCAAAATATTCTCCAGATGAGATCCAAGGGAATATGCCAGATCCCAAAGCCAATCTTTGTAGCATATCTGTATTAGATTTTTCAAGCCCAGCAATTTTATGTATGGTTATGGGTTGGGGATCTCAAATTTTTCTAAGCTGTGAATCAGAAACTAGGTCCCTAGGGTTGTGGCCAGACCCAAGGATCAATTATATTATCATGACTGCATTCGATTCCTTATGCCCAACAATTGTATAATAGTTTTGGGGTAGGGATCTTAACCATTTCGAAGTTATGACCCAGGGTTTAAGTCTCCAAGGGTGGGGCAGACCCAAAGGCCATAATGGAAGCATATATGCATTCATCTCTTTATACTCAGCAATTGTATATATGGTTATAGAGTGGGGATCTCAACTGTTTCCAAGCTGTGACTAAGAAACTGGGACCCTAGGGGTTCGGTCAGACCCCAGGGTCTATTCTAATATCATGACTGCATTCGTCTCTTTATGCCCAGCTTTTGTATACATAGTTTTGGGGTGGGGATCTCAACCGTTTTAAAGTTAGGACCCAGGGACTATGTCTCCAAGGGTGGGGCCAGACCCTATGGCCATCCTGGAAGCAAATGTGCATTCTTCTCTTTATACTCAGCAATTGTATATATGATTATACGTTGGGGATCTCAACTATTTCCATATAATACATTTTTTTGGCCCCGCCCCTCAGCCCCCTGGGAGTCAGGCCCACTATTTGTACAATTTTAAATCCCTGCCTCCCATGAATGCTTCCAACCAAGTATGATTGATGTCCATGGCATAGTTCTACAGAAGAAGTCGTTTGTAGCAATATAGCAAAATTGCCCCATTTTGGCCCCGCCTCTCAGCTCCTGCAAGGACAGCCCAACTATTTGTACAATTTTGAATCCCCACCACCTAGGGATGCTTCCAGTTAGATTCAGTTAAATCCTTATCAGTGGTTAAGAAGGAGAAGTCGTTTAAAGAACGTACGGACAGACGACGGACGCCACGGTATGGCATAAGCTCACCTTGGACCTTCGGACCGGGTGAGCTAATAATCCATTATAATTTGCGCAATAGATGAGTGAAATAAATAATTCAATTTCCTTTTATATGTACTGAACTTACAATCATAATCCAGTGTTCTCCCCAGAATGTTTTAAAGAAGCATGGTATTTCAATATTTCTGTTAAAGCAGCACTCTATGTAAAATCAAAGCAGCATGGTAACTTTAGATTTACTATGAATATATAACAGAGAAGATCTAGGATAGCAGCATGGCAAGAAATTATAGGAGCATGGTTCTATGCTGCAAAAACAGCCTGGGAAGAACACTGCATAATCACAGCCTTGGAAATATCAACACCTGTAAAGAAAATATACTCTGGACTGAAATAAAGTCAAGACACAATAAGATCAATATTTACAGAGGTATCTATATTTATATATATAATATATATATATATATATATAATGTTCATAACATGCCCACTTCTGGATTTTCTAGTTATATCACAAAATGAACACACAAACCCTTTCCAGTCTCACATATCATTTAAAGTACTTACTCTGGGTAGGAAGTTGTGATTTTTACTAAGAGAAGCTAGGATGGGCACATTATGGACATAATGTAGACCAGGACAGTCGACTGCTACTTTTGTGCTCCATCAAACAGCTAATTTTCAACCATTTCTGTGAAACTATTTAAACTTCGGACAAAAGAATTAAGATTGTTTAGAGAAGGGAAATTTTTCTACAATGAATTCCTTTTTGTGCTCAAAGATATTCTTCACTAAATTTGGTCACTTTTGAGTTTTGAAGGAAAAGTTGATGAAAGATGGAAAGAGGACAAACATGTGGCATACTAGCTCACATCAGTCACTCACTGACCTTCTCTCCTTCAGACCAGTCAATTAAGTTATCTACAGAGTTTTACACAATTGATTCGGTTGACCTTGAAAGAGTTCAAGGACATTCCTTTGAACTACAAAGTGACACTTATGGCTTCAAGCAGGAACAAGGGTCTTTAGCTTGATGAAAGCTTTTGGTGTTTTATTTTCTAAGATGAACTATATATATAAACACCCACCACCACCTTCATTGCAGCTTTCCATGTTTGATGTGATAGTGTGCAAAGGCATCTGAGGGAACTTAACCAGAAAAGTTACCGTTGTTTTTGTAGCCTGTAGGTCTACAGGTGATTTTTACAGGTGTTTTAATGGACAACTGGCATTAAAACATGCAGTTAAAAAGAAGAGTTCATGTCGCTTCACATAATATAAAACAATCCTTAAAGTAGATACATAATATATATATAGAAAGACAAATGGAGTGATAGGATAAGATGGTATTAACTGAAATGTGATATTAAGTGAAATCCACTGCATATATTATATAATACTCTATAGAGAAGCTTTAAAATTAATTAAAAATACCTTTTGCTTCCAATTAAATCACATCAAAATAGCACTGGATACAATTTGTCAATAACAAACCATCCCACACGAACACGTAACAAAACTATATCTAGATTTCCTGAAACTCTTTCTGAAAACAAAAACTTCTTCATGCCAGCTATAGCTTGTTGGCCTTACCACCAAGCTAAAATGATGAGCCATTTTACTCCAGCATGCATTACAAACATATGTGTTAAACATTTCACAAATTTTCATAAACCCATATGAGCATGCAACAGCTAGCTTTTTGATGTTCATGCCGTCATTTGAGCAAACTTGATGGCCCGTTGTCCAAGCATGCTAAAGATCCAACATCATGACCCTAAGCCTTGGATCAAGTTGTGTAAATATCTTAACACTTTGACCCATATAACCTTGAAAGATTAAGGTCCTTTTGAGCAGATTTGATAGTCATTTAATTCACACTAGCATGCAACAGGCCAAATATCATGACCATTAAGGTATCTTGTCTATGTAGAATAAGTCATTTACTGAGGTTTTACACATTTGTACTTGAAAGTGGGTCAATGTTATTTACTTTAGCCCACCGTCACCCCAGCATGCTTCATGTTGGATATCATTACCATCAGTCTCCTGGTTACTACTTCAAGAGTACTTCAAGGACAACTTGATGACCCTTTGTCCAATCAAACTACAGCACAATAACAGATGAAGCCATTTTTATAAAGTTTCTGTATGTTATTTTTCACACCTTAACAAGCTACAGATAGTATCATTACTACATAATGGTTATTGGTCTTTACAAAACTGAAGACATTGTTCAAAATATTTGGGTCAAGGTCATTCATTTGAACAGACCTGGTCACTGTCATTTTCGTCGTGATAGTATCAATACTTCCTAGACCATTTCATATCTGGAGTAGAAACTTAACTGATAGCATCCTTGTCCTAGGATGCTCTTTTCCAGGCAGACAAGAACTGTTTAACTGTGATTTAATTAAGGGAGAAGATTAATCCGATTTCCCCTTCTAAGCAATGCGTGCAGATCCTCGGTGGATAGTTCAGACACACGGAAGGGTACCTGCTTCCATTTCTTCTTGCTGTCAGCCATCCCATATGCATCCACAATACTGAAGCTGGAAATCTTGATGATGGGGAACTGGATGCCGTTGAAGATGCTGACATTGCCGAGGTCAGAACCACACTTGCGACATGTAATTTTGCCGACACCTGACTGTAACTTTTGGTCACTGTACTGGACCCTGTTGAGCCTCTTTGCAGCCACACGGTCAGTGATGTCATCACAAAGCACAGCGTGGTGAGCAGACATTATTGTTTTGACATCAGACGACATACAGATGTAATCCTGACACTTTCCACACCGAAGTTCAAACTGACCCTCCTCTATGGCTCCCTTGTGGCCCTTGGTGGCTTCCATGTCACGTGCAAGCTTTTCTTCCATTTGTATCTTTAAAACTCTTCGCTGAAATCCTTCTCTGTTAAACTGTATGCGTTCTTGGAGTTTTTCAATCGCATTTTGCATCATGGCCTCCCTCATGAGATTGATCTCCTCTTTCTGGGCAGCCCTTCCTCCCTCAGCGGCCAAGAGCACATACTTGCTGTCCTCAGCTCTGCCTCTACCTGTCAATACACAACCATTATAAAGGATTACATTTACCCACAAAAACACAGAAACACTGACCTCAATGAAAAGTATGGCAACCTGCTGAAACAGATATACACTGACTTTTGTAATGTTTTTCAAGTACATACTTGGCTGCTGAAACACAGAAACACTGCCCTCAATGTTTGTAAAATATGGTTACCATCTAAAACACAGAAACACCGCCCTCAATGTCTTTAAAGTATGGTTACCATCTAAAACAAGAGGCCCAGAGGGCCTGTATCACACCTGAATATGTTAAAAATAATTGTTATGAAGTAAAGATATAGCACTCCATGGTAGCTGCTGTAATATAAGTACACATGAAATTTCAGGAAGATCCATCCAGTACTTAAGATATAGCGAGAACAAACTTCAAACAGAGCCCCACCCCGATGCCCCTAGGGGGGTTCATATCCACCAATTATACAAAATTCAGACCCCAAGGATGCTCCAGACTAAATAAGGATAAAATATCCTTTAATCCCGATGGTCGAAGAAGGATTTTAAAGGTTTTACCTCTATTTCTCCTATTGGGCCCCACCCTTCTGCCCCCTGGGAAACCACACCCACTGCTTATACAAAATAGAGTCCCCTTGGCCCAAGGATGCTCCAGACTAAATAAGGATAAAATCCCTTAATCCCTATGGTAGAAGAAGGATTTTAAAGGTTTTACCTCTATTTCCCCTATTGGGCCCCGCCTCTCTGCCTGTAGGGGGTTAGACACACTGTGACAAAATCCAGTCATTTGTACAGAAGAAGGAGGTATTTGAAGAATTTGCTGTTTCCCATATTGGGCCCGTCCCTTCTGTCCCAAGGGGTGCCACACACGCTGTTAATACAAAATTGATTCCCTTTTGCCCAAGGATGCTCCAGACTAAATTAGGATAAAATCCCTTAATTCCTATGGTAGAAGAAGGATTATAAAGGTTTTACTTCTATTTCCCCTATTGGGCCCTGCCCCTCAGGTCCCAGGGGGGCCACAACCTCTGTTTATACAAAATTGGTTCCCCTTTACCCAAGGATGCTCCACACCAAATATGGACCAAATCCTTTCATTCCTACAGAAGAAGAAGGATTTTAAATTATTTGCTATGTTTTCCCTATTGGGCCCCGCCCCTCAGTCCTCAGGTGGGCCAGACCAACTGTTTATACAAAATTGGTTTCCCTTCACCAGAAGGATTTTAAAGAATTTGCTACATTTCCCCTATTGGGCTCTGCCCCTCAGCCCCCAGGGGGGCCAGACCCACCATTTATACAAAATGTGTTCCCCTTCACCCAAGGATGCTTCAGACCAAATATGGAACAAATCCTTTCATCCTTAAAGAAGAACAAGGATTTTAAAGAATTTGCTATATTTCCCATATTGGGCCTTGCCCCTCAGCCCCAAGGGGGGGCCACACCCACCATTTATACAAAATTGAGTCACCTTGGCCCAAGGATGCTCCAGACTAAATTAGGATAAAATAAATCTCTTAACCCCTACGGTAGAAGAAGGATTTTCAATGTTTTACCTCTATTTCCCCTATTGGGCCTCACCCCTCTGCTCCCAGGGGGGCAACACCCACCGTTTATACAAAATTGAGTCCCCTTGGCCTAAGGATAATCCAGACCAAATTTAGTCAAAATCTACTTGGCCGTTCAGGACTAGTAGCATTTTAAAGGAAAAGTTGACGGACGGACGACGGTCGCTGCGGTATGGCATAAGCTCACCGTGGTCCTTCGGACCAGGTGAGCTAAAAACAGAATGAAACACTGCCCATAAAGACTGTAAGGTATATGGTTACCAACAAAAACAACGAAAAAAATGACCTCAATATATGTAAAGTATGGTTACCTCCTAAAACATGAAGAGAAACACTAACTCCAGTATATGTGAAAGAAGTATAACCACTGATGTCTGTGATAACTGTAAAGACAGAACATTTTTGACAGATGTCAACTCTACCTCTTGACTGGACCATGGCTATTTCATTGGTGACGTAATCATATCTGATGACCAGGTTACACTTCTGTATGTCCAGTCCCTCCTCTGCTACGGAGGTTGCGATGATGACCTTGTGTTGACCGTCACGGAAATACTGAAGGACATCCACCTGCTCATTCTTTGTCATACCTACAAAGTAATAATTACTGTGTAGCAGTTACTAAATGGCATATAAAAAGAGTTTGTAGTTGATACTAAATTTTGTATAAAAAGTGTTTTTAATTACTTGATTATGAATAAAAGACCAATAACTTGTCGGTGTTAGTGAACCTTTAGTAGCTGTTTTTTCTATATGAATGTACTATAGCGGACTACAGAATCATTCTACAGTTCTGTGGCATTCTTCATCACTTCGTACCTCCCTTCTCAATGGATGCTTGCGCTCCAACAAACTTGACGGGATTTAACTTCTTCAAATCTTTGTCATCCTTCATCCACGACTCAATGGCCTTGACAAGGTCACGTGTTTTCACGAAGATTATTCCTCTAGAGTCCCCTTTTTTCTGATATGCCTCTACCAGCATCTCTTTTAGCTTGATCAGTTTTGGATTTACTTGTTCAGCATTGTACAAACAGTTCTCTAGCAGAGTCCTGCTACCTGTGAAAACAATGATTATAGTTCCTTTACATGATAAATTATAATGGAGATTAAAGCTCCTTTTACCAGTGTTACTTGAGATTATATTCTTGTACCTCGGACAAGGATATCCCATGCCATGCCCTGTGATGATTTTTCTACATTTTGGGGTATTTTCACATATCACTGTATTCATCCGCAGGCTAATTAACACAAGTGTACATTTGATCTTTAAAATTGTAAAATTGTCTTTGTAAGGTCTTGTTTTCATGGAAGCATTCAAATGTAGCTTTATTAGTGAAGAGGCCAATTGCTGCAAACAACTCAAGTTTGCAACAAGTTTGCAGCAATTTGCCACAAAATTGCAAGAACTTGTCCTTCCTCAAAATCTTACATGAACGTATCATTAAAGACGACACGGATGCATATATATATATATATATACAAGAAATAAGATTTAACGACCGACTAATTAAAAACTAGCTGCTTTCACCCTTCACAGGGCTTTTCAGGTTTATTTCAAAAGAACAACTTTGGGATGTTACAATTACATGTCATCGCACTACAATATAGTAACGTGACATCACAAAGTACACAAAATTGGTGGACAGATTAACGTAAAGTTTTATTGTGTCCTGTTGAGATTTGGTTTTAATATTTTGATTAATTGGTCTTCTTACTTTTCTCTTAGAATAGTGTCTGATGAAAATAGTTGATACAAAGGTAATACATTAGATTTATCTCCAGCGCATTCATGAATATGTTTGTTAACATGAAGATTTCGTAAAGATTTCGTTCTAGTTTGTTGTCTATGTACAGTCAAGCATGTTCTGAGTTCATTGCCGGTTTGACCAAACATAGACAACAAACTGGGTCAATTCCATTATCACAACTGTTTATCTCTTTATGCCCAACAATGGTATATATGGTTATGGGATAGGAATCTCAATCAAAGTTTTGTCTCAGAAGTAAGTCCCTAGGGATGGGGACAGACCCAAGAGTCAACTCTAATATCATGATTGTCTCTTGATACCCAGCGATGGTTTATATATATGCTTATATGATCATTAACATGATACGTTAATTTCTCACCATCATAGATTTGCTCCATCTTCCTGTCTGTGTCGTCTTTAATGATCCGTTCATTGATACCTCGAATACTGGCATCGAGAAAGTCGAGGGCATCTTTGACTCGAGCATCCTGGTAGATGATCAGGCTCTTATTGTAAAGCTGTCAAGAAAACATTGTATCCGCCATAAATAAATCATGTGTAATTATATACATGTAAGTGTGTGTCTGTGTGCATGTTTCTTATGTGTGCATGGTGAGTGATGGTGTATCTCAGTGTGTCTCAGTGTGTTGGTGTCTCAGTGTGCCAGTGTGTGTGTTGGTGTGTCTCAGTGTGCCGGAGTGTCGCAGTGTGTCTCAGTGTGCCAGTGTGTCGGTGTGTGTCTCAGTGTGTCGGAGTATATCAGTGTGTCTCAGTGTGCCAGTATGTCTCAGTGTGCCAGTGTGTCAGTGTGTGTCTCAGTGTGTTGGTGTGTCTCAGTGTGTTGGTGTGTCTCCGTGTGTCGGTGTCTCAGTGTGTCGGTGGGTCTCAGTATGCCAGTATGTCTCAGTGTGCCAGTATGTCGGTGTGTCTCAGTGTGTTGGTGGGTATCAGTGTGCCAGTATGTCTCAGTGTGCCAGTGTGTCGGTGTGTGTCTCAGTGTGTTGGTGTGTCTCAGTGTGTCGGTGGGTCTCAGTGTGCCAGTATGTCTCAGTGTGCCAGTGTGTCGGTGTGTGTCTCAGTGTGTTGGTGTGTCAAGGTAGGAGGTGACAACAAGTTGAACTATATTAACAAAACCCTGCATAAGGTCTACCATAGACGGACTTCAGGTTGAAACTGTTGGGCCATCAGGCAGGATATAGGCTGAAATTTGGAATTGGACAGATTGACTAGTCTCAATAGAAAAGGTTTCTGCCTGTGAAACTTCCCAGAATCACCAACAAACAAGAGGCCCAGAAGGGCCTGTATCCCTCACCTGTTTGTTTTGTTACATGGAGTTGTTGACATTTAGAAGCAGTTGAAGGTTTACAGTTATTTGGCTCCTGTGACCTTGAAAGTATATGTAGGGCAAATGCATATTCATGTGCAAATGTTGTTGAACTCAATCACAGGATGCTGTTGGGGGAATAGGAGCAGGACTTGACATGTTTTGGATATTCAGAAGTGTGTTGAAGGGTTTTGTTTGTTGCATGACTTTGAAAGTATAGGTCAATGTCATTTTCATTCACAAACTTCATCGAGTTCCATTATAGGATACTACACGACAAATATCATGACTTTAGAGCAATCAGATCTTCAGAAGAAGTTGTTTGAAGGTTTAGACTTACAACTTACCCCTGTGACCTTGAAAGTAGGTCAAGGTCAATTGCATTCGCAAACTTTGACGGATTCCATCATATGATGCTACTGGCCAAATATCATGACTCTAGGCCTTTCAGATCTTCAGAAGAAGTTGTTTGAAGGTTTAGACCTACTTCACCCCTGTGACCTTGAAAGTAGGTCAAGGTCAATTGCATTCGCTAACTTTGTCTGATTTGATCATACGATGCTACTGGCCAAATATCATGACTCTAGGTCTTTCAGATCTTCAGAAGAAGTTGTTTGAAGGTTTAGACTTACTCCACCCCTGTGACCTTGATAGTAGGTCAAGGTCAATTGCATTCGCAAACTTTGTTGGTCTTCATCATTGGATGCTACTGGCCAAATATCATGTTTATAGGCCTTTCAGATCCTCAGCAGATGTCATTTGAAGGTTTATACCTTTTTGACCCCTGTGACCTTGAAAGTAGGTCAAGCTTATTTTCATTGGCAAACTTTATTGTGCACCATCATACAATGCTACTGGACAAATATCATGACTTTTATAGGCCTTTCAGATCTTCAGAAGAAGTCATTGGAAAGTTTAGACCTATTTGACCCCTGTGACCTTGAATGCACAATGTAGGTCAAAATCATTTGCAAACTTTGTAGGGCTCCATTCAAAGATGTTGCTGGTCAAATATCACGACTGTAGGTTTTACGGACCTTTAGAAGAAGTCATTTAAACAAAAAGGTGAGCTAAAAAACGATGAAAATGGAAAAATTATATTTTATGGCCAACAAACATTAGATTCAGTAGATTCCTCCGATGCCAGAAGAAAATACCCAAGAAAAGTCATAACACATAGTCATAGTTAATTCTGGGAAATAACACATAGTCATAGTTAATTCTGGGAAATAACACATAGTCATAGTTAATTCTGGGAAATAACACATAGTCATAGTTAATTCTGGGAAATAACACCTAGTCATAATTAATTCTGCGAAATAACACATAGTCATAGTTAATTCTGGGAAATAACACATAGTCATAGTTAATTCTGGGAGATAACACATAGTCATAGTTAATTCTGGGAATTAACACATAGTCATAGTTAATTCTGGGGAACAACACATAGTCATAGTTAATTCTGGGACATAACACATAGTCATAGTTAATTCTGGCGAATAACACATAGTCATAGTTAATTCTGGGAATTAACACATAGTCATAGTTAATTCTGGGGAACAACACATAGTCATAGTTAATTCTGGGGAACAACACATAGTCATAGTTAATTCTGGGGAACAACACATAGTCATAGTTAATTCTGGGACATAACACATAGTCATAGTTAATTCTGGGGAACAACACATAGTCATAGTTAATTCTGGGGAACAACACATAGTCATAGTTAATTCTGGGAATTAACACATAGTCATAGTTAATTCTGGGAATTAACACATAGTCATAGTTAATTCTGGGTAATAACACATAGTCATAGTTAATTCTGGGAGATAACACATAGTCATAGTTAATTCTGGGAATTAACACATAGTCATAGTTAATTCTGGGACATAACACATAGTCATAGTTAATTCTGGGGAACAACACATAGTCATAGTTAATTCTGGGAGATAACACATAGTCATAGTTAATTCTGGGGAACAACACATAGTCATAGTTAATTCTGGGGAACAACACATAGTCATAGTTAATTCTGGGAATTAACACATAGTCATAGTTAATTCTGGGAATTAACACATAGTCATAGTTAATTCTGGGAATTAACACATAGTCATAGTTAATTCTGGGAATTAACACATAGTCATAGTTAATTCTGGGGAACAACACATAGTCATAGTTAATTCTGGGACATAACACATAGTCATAGTTAATTCTGGGGAACAACACATAGTCATAGTTAATTCTGGGAGATAACACATAGTCATAGTTAATTCTGGGAATTAACACATAGTCATAGTTAATTCTGGGGAACAACACATAGTCATAGTTAATTCTGGGAATTAACACATAGTCATAGTTAATTCTGGGGAACAACACATAGTCATAGTTAATTCTGGGAATTAACACATAGTCATAGTTAATTCTGGGAATTAACACATAGTCATAGTTAATTCTGGGGAACAACACATAGTCATAGTTAATTCTGGGAATTAACACATAGTCATAGTTAATTCTGGGAATTAACACATAGTCATAGTTAATTCTGGGGAACAACACATAGTCATAGTTAATTCTGGGGAACAACACATAGTCATAGTTAATTCTGGGAATTAACACATAGTCATAGTTAATTCTGGGACATAACACATAGTCATAGTTAATTCTGGGGAACAACACATAGTCATAGTTAATTCTGGGAATTAACACATAGTCATAGTTAATTCTGGGAATTAACACATAGTCATAGTTAATTCTGGGGAACAACACATAGTCATAGTTAATTCTGGGGAACAACACATAGTCATAGTTAATTCTGGGGAACAACACATAGTCATAGTTAATTCTGGGGAACAACACATAGTCATAGTTAATTCTGGGGAACAACACATAGTCATAGTTAATTCTGGGGAACAACACATAGTCATAGTTAATTCTGGGAGATAACACATAGTCATAGTTAATTCTGGGGAACAACACATAGTCATAGTTAATTCTGGGAGATAACACATAGTCATAGTTAATTCTGGGAGATAACACATAGTCATAGTTAATTCTGGGGAACAACACATAGTCATAGTTAATTCTGGGAATTAACACATAGTCATAGTTAATTCTGGGGAACAACACATAGTCATAGTTAATTCTGGGACATAACACATAGTCATAGTTAATTCTGGGCAATAACACATAGTCATAGTTAATTCTGTGAAATAACACATAGTCATAGTTAATTCTGGGGAACAACACATAGTCATAGTTAATTCTGGGGAACAACACATAGTCATAGTTAATTCTGGGAATTAACACATAGTCATAGTTAATTCTGGGAATTAACACATAGTCATAGTTAATTCTGGGAGATAACACATAGTCATAGTTAATTCTGGGGAACAACACATAGTCATAGTTAATTCTGGGAATTAACACATAGTCATAGTTAATTCTGGGAATTAACACATAGTCATAGTTAATTCTGGGAATTAACACATAGTCATAGTTAATTCTGGGAGATAACACATAGTCATAGTTAATTCTGGCGAATAACACATAGTCATAGTTAATTCTGGGCAATAACACATAGTCATAGTTAATTCTGGGACATAACACATAGTCATAGTTAATTCTGGCGAATAACACATAGTCATAGTTAATTCTGGGAATTAACACATAGTCATAGTTAATTCTGGGAATTAACACATAGTCATAGTTAATTCTGGGACATAACACATAGTCATAGTTAATTCTGGGGAACAACACATAGTCATAGTTAATTCTGGGGAACAACACATAGTCATAGTTAATTCTGGGGAACAACACATAGTCATAGTTAATTCTGGGGAACAACACATAGTCATAGTTAATTCTGGGACATAACACATAGTCATAGTTAATTCTGGGACATAACACATAGTCATAGTTAATTCTGGGACATAACACATAGTCATAGTTAATTCTGGGGAACAACACATAGTCATAGTTAATTCTGGGAATTAACACATAGTCATAGTTAATTCTGGGTAATAACACATAGTCATAGTTAATTCTGAGAAATAACACATAGTCATAGTTAATTCTTGGAAATAACACATAGTCATAGTTAATTATGGGAAATAACACATAGTCATAGTTAATTCTGGGAAATAACACTTGTCTATATATATATTTAGTATGAAATTCTGTACCATGCCCACTTGATCTCTTGGAGCTGTGGCTGGGGGTCAAAGTTGGAAATGGGTTAAAATGTCAAAACACTTAAAATGACATCTGAAAACTGATATGCTAAGATGAACTCTTCAAGGATGAAAAATATCAATTTCTTTTTCAAATTCCTGAATTTCATTTCTGCCATGACACCAAAACTCTTCTAGGGAAGGGGTAAAAAATTCACTGTATTTTATATAAGGAAATAACTTCAGTAAATCTTCTGTTTATTTTGATAGGAAATTGCCTAAACTGGGTCTGTCATAATTATTATTGATTGATGGCAATTTGATGGTATTAAATTGAATCCTTGATCCCCCTCCCTTGAGGTATGTGCGTGGGTCACCAGGACCCAAAAAGAGAAAATTGGCTGAAATTTCAAAAAAGGGTCATGAGGTGCTATTTGGCAATAATAAATTATATATCAATTACCTTACACTCGGGTCTTTTTCTCCTGGGAGAGGGGATAAAATTTATATTGGGAAATAACACTTTTGGATACATTTTGTTGATTTTCAAAAGGAAATTAATAATTGTACGTACGTCTAGGTAATTCCTACAGGTGGTAAAGAATCGACGAGCTGCCTGGTCATACACTTTGGCCGTCTCCTTCCACAAACGACTTAGCCACTGTGTGTAGGGGTCTGTTCCTCGACCGGCCGGTACACGGAGTGTAGCCTGCACATCTGGTACAGTTACCGCATCTGTCACCAAAATCTACTGGGTACTACAATGTGTAAAACTAACAGTTGTCCAATAGCCTAACCAATCAATTGATTGGTTTGCCCTTTCTGATTCCAATTATTGATAACAAATTCCATGATCCATGAACGGTTCATTATTTAAATCAAAGTGTATACAATATGTTAAGTAAGCATTGAAATTCATTTGTTCTCACGCTTGTTACTATATGATTGACAAAACTGCAGAAAAAAATCTTGAAATCCATTCATTATGGTTGTTACAATCCCTGGGCTATGGTGCGACTAACTATAATATTAAAGGTTTGTTCCTGCATTTTTGAAAGACAGCATGATTTCTGAGATTAACACAAATAAGTAGGATGCAGTTTCTAGGAATGCAGTGACCTGCCGAATGTGACGTCGTCATAGCTTACGTTTGGAGGCTTGCATATACTGTTCTATTTTGGCCATCAGGTTGTTGATTGCTTTACCAAACACATTACTTGTTCGTCCTTGAACCATCTCTGTACCTGAAACATTTGATGAAATCAAGAGTTTATTCCATACTGTATTAATATCAGGTTTATGCCTATACATCTGTTTTATAGTGACGACAATGATAAGTGAGCAGAGTAAATATACATATAAAGTGCATAAACCAAACATCTGGACTTGACTGGTTCATTTGAAAATATAATAATAATAATAATAACAAGAGGTCCAGAGGGCCTGTATCGCTCACCTGGATATCTAAGCAATCATGGCAAAATATTCTCCAAATGAGATCCAAGGGAATATGCCAGACCCCAAGGCCAGTCCTTGTAGCATATCTGTATTTGATTTTTTATGCCCAGCAATTTTATGTATGGTTATGGGGTGGGGATCTCAACTGTTTCCAAGCTGTGACTCAGAAACTAGGTCCCTAGGGTTGTGGCCAGACCCCAGGATCAATTCTAATATCATGACTGCATTTGTCTCTTTTTGCCCAGCATTTGTATATATAGTTTTGGGTTGGGGATCTCAACCGTTTCAAAGTTATGACCCAGGGGTTAAGTCTCCAAGGGTGGGGCCAGACCCTAGGGCCACCCTGGAAGCAAATGTGCATTCCTCTCTTTATATTCAGCAATTGTATATATGGTTATATGGTGGGGATCTCAACCATTTCCAAGTAAAAAAAATTTTTGGCCCCACCCCTTAGCCCGGGGGGTCAGCCCCGCCATTTGTACAATTTTGAATCCTTGCCTCCCATGAATGCTTCCGACCAAATATAATCAATATCCATGGTATAGTTCTACGGAAGAAGTCGTTTATAGCAATATAGCCAAATTGCCCCCTTTTGGCCCAGCCCTCAGCCCCCTGGGGGGGCAGCCCCACCATTTGTACAATTTTGAATCCCCACCACCTAGGAATGCTTCCAGTCAAATATGGTTGATATCTATCTCTTAGTTCCAGAGAAGAAGTCGCTTAAAAGTATTATAGCTAAATAACCCTTTTTGACCCCGCCCCTCAGCCGTCACGGGGGTCAGCCACACCATATATACAATTTTGAATCCCTGCCTCCCATGAATGCTTCTGATTAAATATGATTGATATCCAGTGCATAGTTCTACAGAAGAAGTCGTTTGTAGCAATATAGCCAAAATGCCCCCTTTTGGCCCCACCCCTCAGCCCCCTGGGGGGTCAGCCTAACCATTTGTACAATTTTGAATCCACACCACCTAGGGATACTTCCAGTCAAATATGGTTGATATCCTTCTCTGAGTTCCAGAGGAGATGTCGCTTAAAGCAATATAGCCAAATTGCCCCCTTTTTGCCCCGCCCCTCATCAGCCCCACCATTTGTACAATTTTGAATCCCCACCACCTAGGGATGCTTCCAGTCAAATTTAGTTAAATTCCAATCAGTGGTTAAGAAGATGAAGTCGTTCAAAGCAATTGTTGACGGACAGACGACGGACGCCACGGTATGGCATAAGCTCACCTTGGTCCTTCGGACCCGGTGAGCTAATGATAATTTGAGGTTCTTATATATCGTTTTATCACAACCTAGTTCGTAGGTCGTCTCACAGCTGTTCACAATTATTATCCGTGGTTATATGGCCTTTGCAACCAGTCAATACTTTTCTCAACTCCCTGGGGAGCATACAGCCTGTGCTGCCATTTCGGCGCTCACAGCTAGCATTCTACAATTCTAGCACTGCCCAACCACATACTCATTTACAGCTGAGTAGACTGGAGCAAGCAGATTAAAGTATCTTGCTCAAAGATACAACACAGTGCCGTGACTCGAACTCGCAATCCTTCGGTCACAAGCCCGGCGTTCTACCATTAGACTACCGTGCCTCCTTCTACAGACACCCATCCTCAAAACTCCAGCAGTTATGCTTACTTTTGCTCTTTGCACCCCTGGAGTATGTCATAGCAAAATTGAAGGCACATGGCTAGCTATTTGATTGGTCTCAGGTAAAAAAACGTGACCAATCGCTATAGGCTGATACTTGTCAGACTAGTCATCTCATATCATCCAGGTGGTGCACACCAAGTTTTCTATTTTGTCATGACATATTCCAGGGGTAAAGAAAGCGAAAGTGAGGGTAACACCTGAAGTATGGAAGATGACAGACACCTTAGTTAATGACAGAATAACAGAGAAGGACACTCATCAGGGTGTGGCTTATTCTACCACAGCTAATTCCCCAAACCAGGAATGGTATTATATTTAGCCACATCCTGATTGACTACCCAAAATCGAGTTCACCCAAGCCCTAACAATTAGGAACACTTAATGGCGTGACATATATATGAATTAAATGTGTTTAGGAGATATTTTTTACACAAGATTTTTACTATGGATAGACGAACAGAAGTGAGACAGGTATAGAAAGTATATACCACAAGGTGAAACATCATACACCCGTCCAGTGCCAATCTGACATACTTCAAATTCTCCCGATGTATATTAACTGCATTGCATGAAAAGATGGAAATGTAAGGAACTACATTTATACTGTATTACTAAGTAATGTTGAGACTATTTATGTGAGGCTAATTTGTTGACTATTTATGTGAGGCTAATTTGTTGACTATTTATGTGAGGCTAATTTGTTGACTATTTATGTGAGGCTAATTTGTTGGAAAGTACTGAAGATCGATTGGATGCTGTTTGGTAATTGAATAAAGGGCCCGACTCCATAAATTACGGTGGGATAATGATGGTTACAGTACTTGTCCAAGCTTCCATGGTAATTAACTTTCTATGACGTTATTGCCATATGCATCTTATACATACTTAACAACTTGTTTTCATACATTTTACCAGTCCTTTGTTTGATGAAGGTGACAGAGTGCATAAAATACTAGCCGTTGAAATGTCAGATATGGCAAATTTACTGGTTGTGCTATTTGAGCCCGTATATCAACTAGTAGACCCTGAAATCCAAGATGGCTGCCTTGAAAGATAACACATGACATAATTTAACAAATTGTTCTTGTTAGGACTTACTTTGTTCTGGTAGGCTGACATATTCACGAAGTTTGGAGGTGTTCTGCTGGACTGTGCAGAGCTCATGTGCATCAAGGTGTGCCATGATCTTTTCTATCCAGGTAATAGCATCTTCCTTCTTCTTTGCCTTGCCCACGCCCACAGAGGCCGTCAAACCTACCACCTGTATCACAACACTATTTTACTTAATCTGATATAGGTAGATGCATCATGATCAGTTAATCATATCAAAGCAACTTAAATCTGATCTGAAATCTTACACCAACAGAATTCGCTTGATAAAAGGTCATTTATTTCAGCATGCCACTGGCCAAATATCTTCACCCTAGCCCTTTTAATTATTCAGAAGAAGTCACTTAAGAGTTTTCAACACATATTGGATCACTTTGACCTTGAATATCATGTGTTCAAGGTAATTCATTTCAAAATAATAGATACAATTTTTATTTCAGAATAATACTGGCCAAATATCATCACCCTAGGCCTTTTTGGTATTTAGAAGAAATAATTGAAAGGTTTTCAACACATTTTACCACTGTGACCTTGAAAAGGGGGCCAACGTCATCATTTGAAAACAATATATAGAATATTTATTTCTGCATGCTACAGGCCAAATATGATCACCCTAGGCCTTTTGGTTCAAATTCAGATGGAGTTACTTACAAATTTTTTAACACATTTGACTACACTGACCTTGAATTATTGGTCAAAGTCATTCATTTGAAAAAAGATAGAGTATTCATTTCTGCATGTTACTGGCTAAAGATCATCACTCTAGGCCATTTGGTTTATCAGAAGGAGTTGCACTAAAAATGCAACATCTTTGACCTCTGTGATCTTGATTGTGGGTACAGGTCATTTATTTGAACAAAATTGCTAGCCCTTCATCCAAGCATGCCATTGGCCAAATATTATCACCCAGTTGATCTGGTGTCTGTGGTACCTGAGGTAAGGTTTTTTTATCTGTGACATCATCTAGCTTGAGATCAATGTAATGATGCATGATCCTGTTGAAGGAGTGTTTTAGGTTGGAGTGGTGACACTCATCAAACACGAGTAGGGAGAACTGTGTGATATTCACATCCTTCGCTAGCAGAGCGTTGACCAGCAACTGAGCAGTTACCACTAGAATATCTCTCCTGCAGTAAAATAACACAGTGTATAAGTGTATATGTAGAATGGCACAGTATCACTTGTATGAGAAAAAACCAGCTAACATTTCCTAACTAGTTAACTACAATGTCTGACAATTACCAGAAAAATGTGATATCATGATTTGATATTATAAACTACCTAGTATATTATAAAGCATTTTGTCACACACAAACTTGTAAGCTCCTGTGCCCCATAAACATGTATAAGCTATATATTATATAAAATCTGGTGTCAACACACACTAACTAGCATACTCCAGATTCTGAGCCACATACTAATTAGTAACCTCTCATTCCACACCCTAACTAGTAAACTCCTATGCCACAAACTAACTAGAAAACTCCCATGCCACACGCTAACTAGTAAATTAACTCCCATGCAACACACTTACTAGTAAACTCCCATGCCACACGCTAACTAGTAAACTCCCATGCCACACACTTACTAGTAAACTCCAATGCCACACGCTAACTAGTAAACTCCCATGCCACACGCTAACTAGTAAACTCCCATGCCACACACCAACTAGTAAACTCCCATGCCACACGCTAACTAGTAAACTCCTATGTCAATCATGAACTTGTAAACTCCTGTCCCACACACTTATATATATAAACTGATAAAATCCCAATTGTTACACACTAACATGAAAACATCTGTGCCACACACTAACTAATACACTTTCATGCCTCACACTACCTAATGAAATTTTGTGCCACACACTAACTAGTTAGCTAATGTGCCACACACTAGCTAGTAAACTCCCATGCAACATATTACCTAGTAAACTCCCATGCCACACACTAACTAATAAAATGTTGTGCCACACACTAACTAGTTAGCTCATGTGCCACACACTTACTAGCTGTAAACTCCTATGTCACACACTAACTAGTAAACTCCCATGATGAATACTACCTATTGTAAAAGCCTAATATTTTGTGGGGATTTAATTTTGTTTATTACATGGTTTTATAAAAACCACAAAATATAATCCGAACGAAATTTTAAGCACACGAAATACAAACTAAATGATAAGATGAAATAAACTATTAATTTAATTACAAATCCATGCTGTATTTACATTTTGACACAAGTCATGATTAACGGTGTAAGTATCATCACAGGCACAGAGGTAAACACTTATAACAATAGCGTGTCAATGCAGCGTTATATTTGTAACACAGTTACATCGCTCTTTGTATGTAAACTATAGAGCATGACGGATTTGACCAATACCTATCAAGTGAGTTTATCTCGCCCAGTCTTACCTCTACCTCGTGTGGTGAAATCAACTTATATAAAGATAATAACAAAACAAAAACACAAACTATTCCCTTTTTAACAACAAGAGGCCCAGAGGCCTGTATCGCTCACCTGGATATCTAAGCAATCATGGCAAAATATTCTCCAAATGAGATCCAAGGGAATATGCCAAACCCAAAGGCCAATCCTTGTAGCATATCTGTATTAGATTTTTCATGCCAAGCAATTTTACGTATGGTTATGGGGTGGGATCTCAACTATTTCCAAGCTGTCACTCAATAACTAGGTCCCAAGGGTTTTGGCTAGACCCCAGGATCAATTCTAATATCATGACTGCATTTGTCTCTTTTTGCCCAGCATTTGTATATATAGGTTTGGGGTGGGGATCTCAACCCTTTCAAAGTTATGACCCAGGGGTTAAGTCTGCAAGGGCGGGGCCAGACCCTAGAACCATCCTGGAAGCAAATGTGCATTCTTCTCTTTATAATCAGCAATTGTATATATGGTTATATGGTGGGGATCTCAACCATTTCCAAGTAATAAAACTTCTTTTGGCCCCACCCCTTAGCCTGGGGGGTCAGTCCCACTATTTGTACAATTTTGAATCCCTACCTCCCATGAATGCTTCCAACCAAATATGATCGATATCCATGACATAGTTCTCCAGAAGAAGTCGTTTATAGCAATATAGCCAAATTGTCCTGTTTTGGCCCCGCCATCAGCCCCCTGGGAGGTCAGACCCACCATTTGTACAATTTTGAATCTCCACCACCTAGGGATGCTTCCAGTCAAATATGGTTGATATCCATCTCTCAGTTCCAGAGAAGATGTCACTTAAAGCAATATAGCCAAATAACCCTTTTTGGCCCCGCCTCTCAGCCCTCTGGGGGGTCAGCCCCACCATTTGTACAATTTTGAATCCC